TAAAACAATTTCGTTTTGTCATCTTCCCACAAAAAATCTTTGTCCTCAAGGTCATTCACTGTAGCCCATTATACACGCTAAACCCAAGATCGGTTGCTATAAATACCAATCGTGCTCGTCAGGGTTGGTTATGTGACACGCAGCGGGTGCACATTAAAGGCTGTGGTTTGCACTGATTTGGGCTGCAGCGCACATTTCAGCTGTTTGTTGTGGAAGGCCCCAGCCAATGCAGTGCTGTCTGGTGGAGTGGCCGTCCAGCCTGCTGCTGCTGCAGAGATATGTGGACCATATGTTGGTCTCAAGTGGTGGAGGCTCCCACGAAAGGCCTGCGCTCCGATGTGCACATATAATTCTGCTGTTTCATTTCGTGAATTATGTATGAGGAATTGACGCATTCTTGGCCACTTTATGTCATTTGCCACATCATGAGTCAATATTTAATGAATCTGGGGCTTCTGACGGTCTGCTCTGGTGTGGTTGCTCAAGTTGTCATGATTTCTCTACTGAGCCCCTTCAGTGTGGATAATATCGGCTGATTGGTCTGCAGATTGCCCACAACATGGCTTAAACACTATATTGTATACAGACCACTGGATTATACAATACATTCCCCACTGATCCAGATTACAGCAGGCCTATAGTTCTCCTGCACGCTGTCCTCCCTCAGGTCTCTGGATTCGCTGCAGCAGTGCCCCTCTTACAACCAAACGCATGCTTTGTTGTCATTGTCGGGTTATAGGACAGCGTTTGCAGTGGAAACTTGATAGCAGCGATCGAACATTTAATGAACTGGATCAGCTCTGACAGTGATGATCCAGGTCAGTGCTACACGGGCCACAGACCGGCACAAGCAGGCTGGAGGGGGGGGGGACAGAAATAGAACAAGAGCACCAGGGAAATATTTGCTGCCTTCTCCAAAACCCCCAAAACACACACATACACACACACACACACACACACACACATACAGTCTCTGTGCCTGTTTGAAGTAGAAATAAAAAAAGGTAGTTTCCTATGTGCGCTTGAGATGGTCCTATACTGCCATCGCTCAGGCATAAATAAATGCATTATTCATGTGTCCTTGCACCGCAGGAACCATGGGAAAGCAGAACAGCAAGCTGACTCCCGAGGTGATGGAGGATCTGGTGAAGAACACAGAGTTTAATGAACACGAGCTGAAGCAGTGGTACAAAGGCTTCCTGAAAGACTGCCCCACTGGCAGGCTGAATCTGGATGAGTTCCAGCAGCTCTATGTCAAGGTTTGTGTGAACCACTGCTGCTCTCCTTTATCATCTGTCTGAACATGTAATCATGTCATGGCTGTTTCCCATCGTCAAACTACTGCGAGTAAGTCTTTTTAAAGCCCTGCTTGAATTATTCAACACACATCTCTCCCACATTTGCAGTTCTTCCCTTATGGCGACGCATCAAAGTTTGCACAGCACGCCTTCAGAACCTTTGATAAAAACGGAGACGGGACCATCGATTTCCGAGAGTTCATCTGCGCTCTGTCCATCACATCCCGTGGCAGCTTTGAGCAGAAACTCAACTGGGCCTTCAACATGTATGACCTGGATGGTGACGGCAAAATCACCAGAGTGGAGATGCTGGAGATAATCGAGGTAAGGGATTATCGAGTCATTAAGCCCTTGCTCATCAGGGGACAGGCCCTGTTTTTGTTGTTGTTGTTGTCTCCTGCACACCTGCAACGCTTTTGAGTGCAGAGGCAGTTTCATAACGACATAAATGCAGTTGTATTAAATTACACCGCTCTATTCCTGGAAGCACAATCAGTATAGTAAAACTGATATGTCGCAGTGATATTGGAGTATATTGACAATTCCTGTCGTGATAAATGTGGTGTGTGCTTCTACATCAGTGCTTTTCAACCCTATTAGATAAACTCAACAAGATACAAAAGATAAACTTTATTGGCCCGATCCGTCATGTTCAAAATATGTTTTTATGAATGGATTAGACGTTATTCAACACTATTAATTGTATTCAAGTGTTTAATGTCACAATTGTTTTTTTATACAATTGAATTGTCAATGTTAAAGGTGCTAAATTCAAAATACAGAGCATATCTATTGTCTCCACGCGGCTTTCAACAAGGCGACGACTGAGCCGGCGGCTAGCAGCTAACAGTGCAAACAACGGCAACAGTGCTGACAGATCTAACAGTGTTTACTTGAGGGAGAACTGGGTGGTGGGCGGTATACGCTTCAGCAATGACGCCGTTTGTCGTCTCAGCGTTCTCAGCTGTAACCGCCGTCTGTGCGCAGTGCGGAGAGGCGGCAATTAGCTAGCCAGTGGGGCAGGCACGCAAATATGAACATGCACTAAAAGCGCGCGTGGCCTGGCCCAGCTATGTCAACAAAGCACAGAGAAGCTCTGCTCACAACACACACAGAGGTAGAGTGACTTTGTTCTCTGCTCGGGACGTCATTAATCATCCATATCTAGCAGATCAGTGTTTGCTGCCATATTAATGCTTTGTATTTTGAATTTAGCACCTTTAAATGGTTTGGTCCAGTTATCATTCATACTACCACCACTTTGAGTGGCAAAAGCTGGACATTTAACCCATTTATCCTTTACATTTAGCACTTTCAACTGTTTACTTTTAGCTCACTATTTCAACTTTTCTGCTTGTTTGCAAATTTTCATGTGTTAAAGCTATTATTACTAGTGTAATAAATAGATATTTCTTTATTAACAATTTGTAATCCTATTTTTCCTCACACAAATATGTGAAATATATCAAAAATATATTTTCTAAATAAATCAGAAATTCTATGTGTTAGTTTAGTTTAGTTATTTAGTTGAGCTTGAAGTGCAAAAGTACACCCCGCGGTACAAGTAGCCCTGGTTTGGAATCACTGATGAACAAATGTAGGCATTACATAATAACCAACACTCTACACTCTAATTTCTCACTGCGGCTCCCTCCCTCACAGGCTATCTACAAAATGGTGGGCACTGTGATCATGATGAAGATGAACGAGGATGGTTTGACACCACAGCAGAGGGTGGACAAGATCTTCGGCAAGATGGATAAGAACAACGACGACCAGATCTCGTTGGACGAGTTCAAAGAGGCTGCGAAGAGCGACCCGTCCATTGTGCTCCTGCTGCAGTGTGACATGCAGAAGTGAGCCCTCCCTGCTCGCTCCTCTCCCCGTCAGTAACCCACACACTCTGGACAGCAGCACACGTTTTAATGTCTCATTAGGTTCTCTGCCATTTCCACAGGAAAAAACAAAAAAAACAAACAACAATGCTTGGACGATTTTTCAATGGACTCGCTTCTTGTGGTTGTATGCATGAGAATGTCAAATGCTGAATAATTTTGAATATACCTATAAGATACACATTTCTATTTCAAAACATGCCAATGTGATTTGTGCACAGTAACCCTATACATTCTCATTCAACCTTAGCTTGTAAATCAGTGGAGCACTGCATTCAATTATGTTCCTGCAGTATTTAGGATCCCCAGTGTTCACTGCTGCTACTACTGTACGCTTTACATAATAGTAACAAAACAATAACTCCTAATTGTAACTGTCTCTACTATCCAGGCTTGTTGAGCTATTGAAGAATAGAGAGGCTCCTGTCTGTTCCGGATGTTTTCACATGATGGAACCAAGAAGAGTAGGTTCTTTGCATGCATATATTACTTGTCAGAAAAAATATAATCTCTTACCTTTTGCATCTTTAGGTGGTTATAAAAGAGAAACCCTATGGACTTCATTCAGTATTGTTGCATGGGATGTACAGTGTGTGCCTCATCAGACCATTAGTTCACCTCCAGTAATGTGGGAGCATGATTCCCTCCAGTTGATACACGTGTATGTGTGACACATGAGTTTTAAAAAAAAAGATATTTGGATTGCAGTTGTGGGCTAATCTTCGAGGAAGAGCTTTCACATTAACATTGTATTATGTTTCGCTTCAGTGACTTCTGGGATGAGCAGAAATACATTTATGGAGCAGCTTTCTTTTTATTATTTTATTGTACTGCTTGTCGCTGAATTTAGAGGAAAGGCCAAAATTAAGACTGTCATTAGGCACAGTACTCATGCATTATTCCCGAAAAAGATTCAAAATTGGCTTCTCTTTCAGGCTGCTTATTTGATTTAGACTAAAACAACTTAATTCAGTACATATCAACATGTTTACAGAAAGGAAGAGCACTGCAAAACGAGTACAGTCTCAGCTTTTGACCTTGTTGCTAGGAGCTCTCTCTCTCTCTGGGCCGGGGGACCCTGTGAGAGGGGCTTCACTTCCAATGCAGCAAAAAATAGAAAAAGGGAGGAAAAAAAGCCTCTTATATGTTTACTGGACACACTGCATTCCTACTTATACAACTTTTTTGTAAGTTGAAACTTTTTATTGAAAGGTCTCATCTTCTATTCTGTTTGCAACAATCATTAAAGATGCAGGACCCTCAAGAGAGAGGCGCTTGACAAAGCTTTTGAAAGAGTGTTTCAGTGTGAGATGGCAACCGGATGACGACGTGAGTTCAAGTTATTGCAGAAATTCTCTTTCAACAGTTTTACTTCAACATTTCTAGACTTGTAGTCCACTTACAGTAGTGGAGGTTGCAGAAGCTTTTCACTGTTCTGTCTCTAACATAACTGAAACCAACCCTCACATTATTAAAGTCTATATTATTTATACATTTCAGTCCGGTCACTATGTCAAGATTATTTGTCTTGTAAATGTTTACATCAAATATGGAAAAAAATCATAATACAAGTGACTGTATTCTTTTATACATGTGGCATGTGTTGCACCCAAAATTAATTCTGTAGTGATTAAAATGAATAAACCGTCACCAGGCTTTTTCAAAAGACGAGGTCTAGCAGGTGTAATTCATGGGAAGATAAGGGATCACGCTGCTGCAGACTTTAAGGCTGCGTTGAATGTCTGTGTTGATGTGGATGGAAGGCGTGAACAGTATATGTATGAAAAGTATAACCGATACAAAGATGTTTGGATAATTCAAAATTTTATTGTAACAATGGCCATGATTTTCACAGCAGTTACAGTAAACAGCTGCTACATGAGTGGTTTTCAGAGAACTGGAGAGTGTACATGTTTATGTCACAGAGCCCAAATATGATCGACTCCAGGAGCAAATTTATTATAAATATTAACACTGACTCCTGAGGTAAGACTACACAAAAATATCATTAAAACATTTAAAAAAAACTTCCACTCATAACTGAAATTAATATGTTATTGAGATGCCCAAAATGATATAATGGATGATACATATTAAGAATAGTAATACAAAGAGTGAGAATCTCGCTAGCGGTCCCTAGAGGCAGTACTGGTCTTCACACCCAAACACACCAAATCTTAAATGTCCTCAGAGTTGGTGGCAGCAGAGCCTTCAGAGTGAAAAAAACAATAAATATCAAATCAATAACACGTTAAAGGCAACACATATTGTAATAACACAATTACTACACTTCATAAAAGGGTCATTCCTGTTATGCAGCAACACTTCTGTCCCCATGAATCACTTCCTCGTGTTTTCTTCAGAATGTGTCTAATATTTATAACATTAAAGACTACGGTATATTTCATCACATAAATACAGAATAATGCACATTAAAACAGCTTTTTTTTTTTAAAACTTAACTGACATTTTTTTGGTACATACAAGGGCTATAATCCATAAAAATATAAAATACTCAAACGTTCTTGAATAGGCTTTTATAGGCTGCATAACAGGAATGACACGACACATTCAAGAATTTATCACAGCAAACAAATTACATTTACAACTCCCGAACACACAAAGCAATACTGAAATATACATCGACCGTGCACATGCACATTCATCCTCATCTCTTTCAATGTTTCTGACACTGGAGCTCAGCTCAAACATCTTCATCCATCGTTTCGCTACGAACTCTTTCAGGATCCTGAAGCTGGTGGATTTTGATGAGGCTGGTTTTGGGCAGATTGCTGAAAGATAACGAACCACGGTTATTATTTCATTAGTCGTCAAACATTATTGACACACAGTGAATAAAGTCTTCGTTAAAGCATAGAGGTACAACAGGAAATGCCCAAGTTCACAGAAGAATATGGCAGCTGCCTGGTGGCACAATGTGATTAAAACATTATTATTTAAATTAAATCATTTTCTATTTAAATGATGCAACTGAATCTATTGGGAAAGAACTAATAAAAAAATGAAATATTTCTATATAAATTTAATAATAATTTATAATGATAAAAAGTTTTAATAGTAAAAAATGGCAGATTATTATTTTTTGTTTTTATGTAGCAAATCAGTTAAAAATGCATTAAAAAATACACAATTTAAAGGCAGAAAATTGGCATCAAAACTTGCTACTTCATAATCAGCTTATCACTTTTATATTTTCCAATTTCTATATAAATGCTGAAAAAATAATCCCTATTATGTATTACAATTTATTCCAAAGAGCCACAATAAAAAAAATCTATAATTGATCTGTTGGCACACTTAAGCATATAAGAAACAAAGTGAAAGTTATGCAAAATGGAAAGGTTCAGTTAATGGAAAGGACAGCATGTAAACCGAGGCAATTATTAAGAGGAGCGCCACCTGGTGGTGAGGGGAGTGATGAAGACGAACTGTCGAAGGTGCTGCCGCTCTGACAGCTCCAGGAGGAGATCCAGAGAGATTCTGCGATTGTGCATATCCTACGAAAGATTTAATCGAAGTGAGTGAAAGCCAAAGGTCGATGCATATTTTTATACAAAAACGTGTGTGTTTCTGATGATTCTGTGCGCTCACCATGTAGACGTCGAACTCATCGAGGCATCTGAAGGGCGATTCGGTGATCTCCCACAGAGAGAGCATGAAGCAAACGGTGGAGAAGGAGCGTTCACCCCCAGACAGCGACCTCATGTCGCTCACACCATCGTCCTCTCTGCCCGGAGGCTTCACCTTTACGTGTGCCAGAACAGGTTTGTGTAGTACTTGTATTGAGTGTTCATTTTTTTCCATAAGTTACAAAAAAGAAGTCGTGCACGTTATAGGTTCCAGCTTTTTGCTCAAGACATTTTGGGGGCACTTATGAGTAGAGACAGGAAATAACGCAAGAGAGGCGAGGGATGATATGTGCACTTGAACCAGGGATGTGCATGGTCACCAGGATTCCCCATCTTACTTTAAACCGTTACCTTCAAGTGTTTTTTTGTCTTTTGTGAGGAACACACTTTTTTTCTTCCATGTGATGTGATTTTATATGTAACTCTACTGCGATTAAAGAGCTCATTAATTCCATTTCCATTATTGAAAAAAACACAACTGTAAAACAAACGCAGGAACAACCTTTCTGAGTAATTTAGAACAACAAAAAAACACAAAAATTGACGTACCGAGATTGAGAGTGTCTCATTGTTGTGATCAAAAACCATAGAGCCACAGCAGTTCATCTTTGTCAGAAAGTTATTGAAGTATAACTTACATCTGACAGAGAGTGACCTTTAGGAGGAGGAGGAGGGAGGAGGAGGAGAAGAAGAAATAATCAGGACTTTCCACTGCCAGTTAAACACTGTAATCATGTATTTCTGGATTGTTTTTCAAACTGAGTAGATCGTTATTTACCTACGCATTGTCTTGTATCTGTTCTGCCTGTCTGACATGATGTTATCGAGTTGATCGATGAACCTCTGCAGACCTCTCACTTGGTTGGTTTTCTCTCTGTAGAGAGTGAGGGCCTCAGCGTACTCCCTAATGAGGGCAGAAAACGACATAGCCTAATTCTTTCTGATTCCAGACTCCAGTGTGCGTATGCAGCGTGTTAAACAAGGCCAGTTAGTGATGGCCAACGGGCAGGTTGGATTGAAGTATAAAGTAGAAGCAGTGGCAGAAGAAATCTCTGGGAAGCTAGAAGGCTCCTCACCTGACCACCTGCTCCTGCTCGCCATGGTTGCTCTCGAACACCTTGATTTTCTTCTTCAGCCGAGTGATTTCGGTGTCGATGCTTCTGGTGCTGCCGGTCACATGCTGCCGCTCGGGGCTGATCTCGGTGGCTTTGGCCACATATTCCTGTCATCACATGTGAGGTCTGGTGACATTCTGAAAACTCTGAATTACTCTGGAGGCAGTAAATCCTCTCTTTGGTTCTAACTGCTTCTAACTAACTGCTAGCTGTTGGTGTAGCTTAAGACTGGACTTCATCTGTAGAACGTACTGTAGCTAAAAAGCCTCCAATACATGCATGAGGTAAAGAAAACAGCTAAATGTAATGCGTTGAACAAATTTAGTGCAGCTCTTGTTACCTGTAACTCTTCTTCTCTTTCAGCGAGGTCAATGTTCATAGCTTGAATGTTGTCATCATGAGCCTTCAGTTTGGTTTCCAAAATCTTAAGGGTTCGATCATGTTTTGCACACTCAGCATCCAGCATCAGCTGCTCATCCTTTGGGTCAACAAACAATAATAGTCAACTACACTATCACCTCTTCTTGAGGACAGTTTGACACACTTAGATCCTCAAGAAGAAAAATAGCGCTGTCAAATAAAAAGCCTCCACAATTCAGATGTATTTAAAATCAGAGGACAGAAGTAACATCAAAACTACAGAAAACAAGTCTGCAGCATCTTTTGATTTCTGTAACTATTTTTAGCCTCTAAACAAAGTGATACAACAAAGATCTACTGCACCTTTAACGCTTCCATGTCGTCAGAAAGCTGATCAATCCGTTCTCTAACAGCAGAGTACTTGGACTCGGTGTCCTCTGCTGCTCTCTGATGCTTGTCGAGCTCCGTCTTCGCCTCATAAACAGTCTGCTTTTCTGCCTCGATCTTCTGTCGGTTCTCCTGGGCGACTTCTTCCTGCAAGATGTATGTTAAGACATTAGATTTACATGTGGAAAGGTTTATGTCTGTTTTGAGAGGGGTCGGTACAAATAAAACCAAAATGATCACCAAGGAGCTGATGTCATCGATGTGCTCCTCGCCAGCAGTCTCCAGCTCAGTTATTGATGCCTTGACTTGATTCACAGAGACCTGCATTGAAAATGTAAAATAAAACAAATTACTTTTAATTGAACCTTCATAAAGGTAGATCAATCACGCACAGCATCTCTATAATCAATCTTTCTCTCACGAAGAGAACAAAAAGAAGCCATGACAACAGCATCTACAGGAGAAGAATGAAAATGTTAAGCCAACAGCAAGACTGTTAAGTTAAACCAGGTTCTGGCGCTCATCACTGACCAGAGTCTTCTTCAGGGTCATGATGGTGTTGTTCAGATTGTTCTCCATGCTGATGATGTCCTCGGTCACAGAGGTCACGTGGAGCTGAAACCTGGACAGCTGAGCCTGGTGATTCTCCAGGTCTGACTCCAACATACTGTGACAGGAAGCATCGATTTTTATCTCACATCACAACTCCAAACAAAATCTCAAACTGACAAATGTAAAGGAGTCAAAAGTAAAATATTTGCCACTGAGATGTGGTGGAATAGAAGTGTAAAGTTGCAAGAAAACTCAAGTAAAGTAGTACAAGTGCAGTACTTGGGTAAATTACATCACTGTCTATTAGTTTTGACAGGATGAAGAACAGCCGTTTACCAGAATCTGTTCTTAAAATCCAGTTCACTGCCAGCAGCTGGTTTCAACTGGTGTTTCACGTTGGACTTTTCCTTCCCTCAAACTATCATTAAATTATTATTAAACTATTATCATTTTTTTTACACAGTTACCTTATTTCAGTCTCGAGATCCCCGCCGAGATACTTGGCCATGCTGAAGTCGGAGGTGTAATAACGGTTTGAAAACACCTGATCTCCCTCAGCAGTGAAGGCTTCACGGCAGTTTTTAGGAGGCCGGCCTTGCTGCATGACCCTCCTCGCTTTGTCTTTTTCCTTTGATTCAACACAAAGGTCACAGGTCAGATACTTTGTGCAACAATCGGCATTAACAGGCATGAGTGCACACACTAACTTTGATAATGAGAATTGACTCTATCGCCCTCATATCAATCAGGCAGTTGATGATGACCGGGCTTGTTGCTGTGATTATGTCCAGCACGGACGGATATTCTGGATGATGTGCTTTCCTACAAAACAGCAGAGAAGGAAAACAAAATGTAAAATGTGTCCAGATAAAAGTCAACAAATCTGAAATGCTGCTGCTGCTGCTGCTGCTGACCGTCCTTGAATGTTGTAAACTTTTTCAGAGAAACGGCTGACGATGAGCTGCGGCCTGTTGCCCTTTGGATAGTAGCTACACATCAGCTCCTGGAGGACCGCCTCGTCCTTGTAGTTGTCACAGCAGAAAGCTTTCATGAAGCTCCGCAGACAGCACTCCACGGCCACGGCCAACATGGGATCCTTCAAACTGATGCATGCCCCTGAGAGCAAACACAGACTGTCAACTACAGTACGTACGATTTAACTGGATTTACTGCTTCACTTGAAATGTAGAAACTGAGAGTGAATCATCTGTATGCCAATTCTTAAAAAGACAGCAGGACAGAATGATACTTTCACAGATAATAAAGCAAATGAATAAAATAAATATTTTATTAGCTGACTTGACAGGAGTTAGATGAGGAGATCGACTGTCAAATCAATATGATTATAAATATTAATATAAATTATTTTAGAGGCGCTGGTAGGCGGATTTTGTTAACAGAGAGCCATGCTAGCTGTTTCCCCCCGTTTCTAGTCTTTATGCTAAGCTAAGCTAAGGGCCTACTGGTTCCTGCATCATATTTAATAGACAGATATGCGAGTGATATTGATTTATTTTTCAACTCTCAGCAAGAAAGGAAATAAACGTATTTTCCGAAATAAATACTATCCAAATAAGTCAAGCCAACAGAACACAGGAAAAAAAAAAAAAAAAGTCACCTATTGGACCAACAGGTCTCTTGAGAAAGCGCCCTGTGGCGTACGCCTCAGCGATGGAACCCAGCAGGTCGGGTACCTGATCTCCAAACCGCTTCAGTTTGTTTGTCCGACTGGCGAGGATCTGATTTTTCCTCCTCAGTTTGGACTCGTACATGACCTGGATGTTTCGTTCCTCCAATCTAATCAACGTGAACAGACCGGGGAATATTTCACTGGACTGCAGATCAACTGGGCTCTCACTCCAATTGTACCACCAAGCAAAAAATATCACGTCTCGTACCTCAGCTTGTCCCGCTCTTCCCTTCCTGTGAAAAGTGCCTGATGTTTGTTCTTGATCTCCTGATTCAGCTTTGAGCCCTTTGTTTCAAGCTCTGCAAGCTGCTCCTTCAGACTGGATATTTTCTTCTGCTGTTTTGTATACTCCGTGTCTACATCGTTGTCAAGGCTTACACTAACATAAAGTGAGAAGGGATAACATTTCAATTAAATGCATGTATTTGTATTAAAGTAAAGATGTCATTTTCACCGTTCTACTCCCCTACCTTGTTTTTGCCTTATTAATTCTTTCCTGAAGAAGGTCTTGCTCCTTCTCTGACTGTTTGAGTTTGTTCAGAGCTCGGAAATAAACAAGCTACGAGGAAAAAAATGATATCACTTGAACCGATATAAATGTTGTACATTTGATATATCGTATTTCCCAATCCATACCTCCTGTTCCTTGTGAGCTTTGCTGACAACCTTCACTTGCTCTTTCAACCTCAGATTGTCTTCAGACAGAGACTCCTGTTCCTGTCTCTTGCTGTCAACCCTGCTTTTGATGCACTGAAGCATCTTCTCTACTTGTGTGACCTCAGACTGTGTGAAAGATAAGAAAAAGAGCAGACGTATCTTTAAAGATGACATTTAAAAATCAATTATGTCCAAGTTGTTAGTTGGTTTTCTTTCAGTGGAGGACATCTGTAAACACGTTAGTGGGTGAGGACAGCTGGTTTATATGGTGGTGACAGTTTGAAGATAGGGTTTTAAAATAGACTTGTATTTATTCAACAGAATGGGAACACTTATGACTCACCTGACAGAGCTGAAGGTTGTCCTGATGTTTGGGATTGTTCGCATCCTTTTCAACGTCCTCTTGTAACTGCTGCACAAGCTGCTCCTTCTCTCTGACCTCAGAGTGATGAGAAAAAGAGACATACAATATAATACAACATATAATAAAAGAAAGATGTAACTCAAATGAATATGTATTACACAGTGATAAACTCTTACCAAACACCATGCCATTGCTTTCTTCAGATTCTCCAAAACCACCTTCATCTCACTGAAGGACGGCCACTTTTCATACCTCTCTTTCTTCTGGAGAAACTCTTGCTTCAGGTCCTTGAGAGACTGAACACAAACATTGTGCGAGATCTTAAAATGATTCGGTTTTCTTTGGGCAAAAAGAATACACTGTACACGTGAAATTATTCATCAACAAACTTATCAGCAGGGAAGCAAACTTCACCTACTATACAACACGTTTCAAAACAGAAGTTACGAAGTGCTTTATGGGAAGAAGAACAAGAGAATTAATATCAAAAAAAGTGTTTAGAAAATGTTTTTGAAGCCTCTCTCTCTGTCTCGGGACTGTTTTTATTTCTATATATTAAGATGATTACTTATGTGTAGATGTGATCAACTTTAAGTTTATCATTTAATTAAAGTGTTCTGCCTACTACTTTTTGAACATCAAATATTTATTTAGTTTATCTAGAATTGTTTACTGCTTATTATATTGGTTATTCTTGTTTTGTATTGTTATTATTTGATACATCTTCAAAATTAATCTATCTAATCTAATGCTTTTTAAACAGGTGCACCTATATGGTATCAGTATCCAGAGAAGAGCACACAAAGCTCCCCTGTGTTAAGCTATAAAAATAAATACAATACAAGTAAATATGAAATCATGAATATAGTACCTCCTCTTGTCTCTCAACCTGCTGTCGTGTAACTGTTTTGGTCTGCTTGATGTGGATGTAATCTCTCTTCATCTGTTCCAGCAGAGTTGCTTTCATGAAGAACTACAAACGGAAAAAAGGTCCAAAACATTCATCTAAACATGTGGAGATGAAAGCTTTATACCATCATGTTAACTATCATTACAGATGTGAAGCTCATAATTAACGATGGCGGTCTTGCACCTTATACTTGTCGGATTCACTCTTTGAATGCAGGAACTGTTTACTCATTTCTTGGTTGAGAATGGACACGGGGTTATCCAACTGGAACACACAAAACAAAAGTGCTGCTGAAGCCTTCGAGGATCATTATTTGGCAGAACATTCAGAAAGCTCAAAAAATAAAATGAGGGGATTTGCTGGAAGATAAAAAAAAAAATGAATCTGAAATTTGTTTGCATATTTGTGGGTTTTCACATTCAAGGGATTCTGTAGTATGGTCAAAATAAACATATTAAGATAAAGTAAAAATAAAAAACAAGCACTGCAAAAGTCAAGACTCGAAAATAAGAAATAGAAATTCACAATAGAAAAATGTATCCGTTTTAAAACGAGCTGAACATTGTTAGTACCTGGATGTTAAAGTGGTCCAAAATGGCGGTCAGCTCCTCCTTCTTGTTTGAGACAAGTTGTCCTGAAATACAAGATAAAAGACAATCAATGTGGTTCAAACCTCTGTTGTCCTAAAGGAGATGAGAAAGTACAATCATGTGTTCATATTTTTATCAATATTATTGTTTACTTTGTATTTTGATGCTTTGCCAACATTGCATTTTTGAAACCTTCATGCCATCAAGATAATTGAATTGAATTGAATGTAAGTTGCACGACACTCAGTGGCACAACATTGTTACTGTCGAGCAGCAACGATCAGTCATCGTCCAAAGATAATCGTTTCAGTCATTTTTCAACGAGTGGTTCCAGCTTCTTAAATGCGATGATTTAATGTGTTTCTTAGTCATTTTATAAAAGTAAACTGAATCTGTTCATCGGCTAAGCTGAAGCTTGAACAGACATTTTTCACTGTTTTTGGATATTTTATATACAAAACTATTTATCAAGAAAATAATCTGCAGATTATTCAAGAATCTAAATTACCGTTAGTTTCAGCTGTGCACATAATAATCTTAAAAAAAAGGAAGTGTGAAGCATGATCACACCTGATACAACCAGCATCTCCCCAACAGAGATCATGCGGTTGGTTAAACACACTTCTCAGGATGAAAACTTCTCCTAAATGGTTCAACTTTTACTTACAAAATAACTCAAGTGACATTTACAACTCATGGGAAACATCAGCCCAAGTGTGAATGTAAATACGTCTTACCTTTAAATTCCCACTTGGACAGATGGCATAAAACAGTGAAACAGTGTAATGCTTATAAAGCACACGCATGCGAGTATATAGAGGAAAATTCCTGACGGAGAGTAACGAATGTATACAGGTTGGAGGGGTGAAGGTCTGATTGAAGTGCTTTGTCGTCACTCCCGTGTGCGTCTGGATTATCTGACATTTAGCGAAGGTTAGATAGAACTTGGACATCATCTGTAACTCAGGAAAAGTCACCTGACTTGTTCTTGAGTCTGCAGGTCCGGCATCCATCACTGGAGATGCGGTGCTCGATGGAGATGCAGTCGCCGTAGACGTCCCGTTTAAAAGCATCTTGTCCTCTGTTTCTCAGCTTTACCGTGATATCTGCAGTGCTAGAGAGCGGATTATACTGTGGTGGTATTCTAGGAGCAATTTACAGTATTTACATCAACATGATAAGGATGCTCTGGAATAACATTATGCAGTCTGACTTACTTCTCACTGGTTTTCACAAAATCCTTCAGAGACATTCCTCTGTTTGTGACGGTGGCCTTTCCACCGAGGCCCACAATCAGAGCAGTCAGGATTGCACTTTTTCCACCTGAGATTTAGATTGGAAACAACAAAGACAAGGGATTGAATCACTGCATAATACTATGAATGGAATCACTTGTCCACTGAAATCCTCAGTGAAGTCGGCTTTGAATAAACAAATTAGGTTAAATGATATATTTCCCTAAATGTCGACGGGTAACTTTGGTATTTTTCAACCTGGATTCTATTCCCCCATGTTTTTGTGTCTAACTAAATAATAGAGAATTGGTCCAGTATTTAGCGAGAACGCTGCAGCCGGCAGATATTAAACAGGCTGTAATGCATTCGCTCGGGGCAACTCCTCACCATCCGTCAATGTACCTCCACTAAAAGTGCTTGTTTTTCACACTGACAGGCTCGGACTGTTATTATAAGTCTCTGACAACACTATAGAAAGGACAACTGTCTTCTTACTTGATCCGGCCTGTTTTTTTTAATTCTCTTTAACCAAGTTTCACTCTGAAGTCTCGCATCACGTCCACATTGTTGAGATCAGCTAAACATTCATCCATGACATTGAACATCTTTTAAATAACACTAAGCTCTGCTTTCTGTGCTTCAAGACAACAAACTCTGACAACACCAGCTCTCCTCTCTCCAACTCTCACTCACGTTTCCGCTGTCGTCTTCTACAGCAAGTCACATGACACAAAGACAAACAGACCGGACGAATCAGAAGGGAAGAAAAATGCTTTATTTCTCTCTAAGGTCCTGTTTATAATGTCGTCAAACATTTATAAATCAATCTGAACCTATCAGTGGCTAAAACAAACACTTTTAGTGGATGCCACCATTGACGGTGAGGAGTTGCCCCAAGTGATTACGTTGCAGGCGTTTAGCGCCTCCAGTCTGCAGCGTTCTCCCTCAATACTGGTACAATTTCACAAAATGTTTTCCCAATCAGTCACTTTGACATCAAGATGAGAAAATAGCATCCAGTACCCTTTAAGCTGCTTTAATTGATTTTTTTAAGTGTAACTTTTCCTCCACAGTTGAGTTTATTTACGCAGAGGCATCTTTAAATATATGTTTATTAAAAAATTAACACAGAAAATACATCCCCAAAAAAGCTCATAAAAACAAAGAAATTGACTAAAAACAATTGATTCAGACACTGATTATTCTAATGATCTACTGAGAGAGGACAGCCCCGATTAGAGCTGAAACGATTAGTTGGTTGAAAACAAATAATAACAATAATGTAATGTCATTTTTTGGGTACCTTTTTATGCTTTTATCAGGTAGTGATGGTACAGAGATGACAGGAAATGAGAGGAAATATTTGTCCTTGTTATGTAAATTGTTTAATAATAATCTATCTCAGCAGTAACTGCTCTACTGTGTCTTGTAGATGATCATCTGAATACAAAACAGTTACAGTTTCAGAACACTCCTCTTTGTTAAAATGAAATTCAGTCCCGTTTTATTAAACCAACATGAATGGATTTGAAGTTTCCTCGACTTAAAGAGAGTACATACTGTGGATCCGTCACCCGGGTGGGTTGGAATGTGTTAACCACATAAGTCAAAGACAACAAGCGGACGACACGACATTTAGAAATCCGGTTCTTACTTCCATTGTTGCCGACGATGAAATTCACATTGGGCCCAAACTGGAACGGACCGAGCCAATGGTGACACATGAAGTTCTTCAGAGTGATGCTCTCAATGAGGCCGATATCTCCCTGGAGACACATGCAGAAAACAACATTTAACCCGTTAAAGAGCTGGTGATAGTACACACAGAGAACGGGGGGGGGGGCACTCACTGTGGAGGAGGGAGCGCCTCTGCTGGGGGAAGGTCTCTGGTGCTTCAGATCAGCCGTCACGCTGCGCCTCTTGACAGCTGACACGTCACTGACCCCTTTGCCTTTCCTCTTACTCATTTTGAAACAAGTCACTGGAAATAGAGTTGACAGGAAGACAACAATGTCAGATATTATTTCTTTACTCTAAAGACAGGTTTCACTTTGACATTACGTTTACATTAGTTTATTGATTCAGTTGTGATTGATTACACATCTTTCCCCCCTACGATTGAGTTATGTGGTGTTGTACATTTACTTAAATTTAATCTTAAGGTACTTGTGGTTTACTTGAGTATTTTTATTTTATGTTACTTACTCCATTGATAGCATTTTGATTTATTGTGCAGCCCGAATGAGCAATTTTGCATCATGAGTACTTGATGCTAATATTTATTACCCTCTTAATTAAGTAAGATTTTGAATGCTGTTTGTTTTTTACACTGTGGTGTTGCTACAAAAAAAAATCGAATTTCTTCTTCCATTTGTTTAAAGTTTGTGTTGTCTTATGTGTTTTGTGTTCAACTAAGGAAAATGATAACAAAAGCCCTGAGGTGTCCATGTTTGGCAATGGATATCCTGAGGATGCAGACTTCAAATACTTGATTTGGTGCCATCTGGCATTAATTATACATCCATCACTGAACAAGCTATTGGTGTTTCTCCTTTTGAAACTATTTTAAGTTTTGTAAAAATGTGACGTCAGACCGACTGCAGGGAACTATTTGAAGATATACTAGTTCATAAAACTGGTTTCAAAGAGAGTGTGACAAACAGAAAAAAGAGATGTGAGCCTTTTGTCTGTAAGCCAGGAAGCAACGCCTGAAACCAGCAGTTTCAACAGCAACAGGTGTTATTGAGCAACACAGCTCTGCAGATAAACATTTACTGCAAGTTGTGTGTTTCTTACATGTTTTCTAACTGATTAATACTGACATGAAGACATTAACCTTATTCAAAGGCTGTAGTGTATGGATACAATATAGCTGCAAATCACTATTCTTCGTCAGTTAAGTTAAGAGATATATATATAATATTTAAAGTGATCTAGTATGCTGTGTTTTCGCACCACTCAGCAGCATTCGCGTTTTTACAACAATAGCCTCGACACCAAAGTACAGCCACGGGACAGCAACAGGTTGATTTAAAATACTTCAGGTAAACTTAAGCTTTAAAAAAAAAAAAAAAACGTCGCCTACCATAGTGTGCGTGCAGCCTGCAAACATAACATGAGAAGACGTTACATCATGTTTTAAGACTTCCTGGTCGGTGTGTTTCTAAACTGAACTGCAGCAGTGACAGTTGAGGGTGTCGCTTCACTTCCAAACACGGAACCGACGGCGCGTCGCGTGATTGGCTGTCCGGAGCCAGCTGTAGCTGTGTTTACATCGATAATGTGAGAACAATCTCACATCTCACATATTTAAATTAATAAATAGGTTCTAGACTATAGATTTGCAGGATTTGGGCGTTTAACACATACAAACACATTTCAACTATTAAACACGGTCTACTTTATATCTTGCATGTATTTTCCGAGGCATTATATATCTCCCATGTAAATATGAAGCCTTTAAAAACACATGTTTTCCCGCCCCCACGTCCTTTCGACACGGAATCCTACTGATGATGAGTCACCTGCAACAAACATGGTGAGACAATCGACTCATGTTTAATAATGTAACAAATTGGCATAAATGACTGTGAGTTAATCTGAGCCGAATTATTGTGATGGAGATGAAGGCCTGTAGCTCACCTTAAAAAGTGACGAGAATCGTGTGCGTGGAGTGTGGGTTATTGTGTTTCATTCATTACTCGTTTTTTGCTCGAAGAGCTGGATTTGCAACTGCACTGAACGATTAGAGCCAATGTTGATTCACAGACACCTGCTGCCTTATTGTTAGGATTATTAAGTGAATTCTGGTGTAAAATAACAGATGCATTCTTACGATTAGAGTGGATTTTAAAACTGACAATTGGAGTTCCTGATTAGTTAAAAGGATTTTAATTTGTTCTACTTTCACAACGGAGTTTAATTTCGCAGAAAAAAATCTGAAATGTTAAGAGTCAAACTGGTTGAAATCGTTAAAAACAAAAGATTTTACTAACTAAATTATTTGCTCACTCATCAGAATACAGCCGCTTTATACTGGCACAACATTTCAAGGATTACTCTACTGAATCAACCAGCAAGTATATTTACCATCATAATCATGGTGCCCAACATAAGCATAATTGCTAATTACTTCACCACCTGCTGTTAAACTGGTATTATTAAAATGCATATTGAATGACTTTTTAAATAATATATCGATGTATCTAAATATTTTATGTCTTGAATTGTTAATACTGCAATTGCTGGTGAAAATGCAGCCTCCAACTCTTACTAATAATGTGGTCATAAAAACTAACCTTTCAAAGCGGTGATGCTGTACATGAGGTGACTGTACATGAGGTGACTGTACATGAGGTGACTGTACATGAGATGACTGTACATGAGGTGACTGTCACTGATCGGAAGCTCAATCGTGCAATTTTTATAAGGCGTCTTTGGCTACCTGTAGAAAATGTTGGCATGTTCAGCAGATGGACAGTGGATGGCACCAAATGCTAATTTATTGAATCTCATACTGTTTGGTTCAGAGCTCTTGATCCAGCCTTAGCTTGTAGTGTTTAGTTTGCAAATAATCTGTCAGTGTTGATGAGGCTCTGCTTGAGGTCACTGTCCCTCTTTGCAGATGCAGGTTTCCTGTGTTTGACTGATGTCCACATGATTCATGAAGTGTTTTGTACAGGATGCATTTGTAGTTTATATGTGATGCGTCCTCAATCTCATTGACACATTTAATTTATTTCTGTTTTGCAGGTGTATTTGACCTCTGAACTTCACAATGTGTTCAATTCCAGGGCTTCCAACGCCTGGATCAGAAGTACCTGTTGTCATCACAAGGGCAAACCTAAACCCCAATTGTGGTCTTGTGGAATTATGGGTTAACATGGATGATGGAAGGAAGCCTGTTTATGAGCAGATGAGAGAGGAAATTCAGATTCCTAAAATAAAGTTTTATGGATCAGAAGGAAAACCAGGAGATCTCTGTCTGGTTTGCATCAGTGACACATGGCACAGAGCTCGGATTGGATCGATTCAAGGTGAAACTTGCAATGTTTTTCTAATTGACCAGGGACAGCCCCATATCACCACACGTGAAGCTTTAGCATGGGGCCAGAGTGACTGTTTTCTCCTTCCTCCTGAAACTGAATCATGCATACTTGCAAATGTCCTCTCCCTTGAGAATAACTGGCCTGAATTAGCCACAAAGTTTTTGGTGTCTCTGCCTGGAAAGAAGTTTATGGGACTGGTTCAGCACGTGCTGATGCCAGACAGGACTATCCTCCTCGACATACCAATTGTTTCCAAGCACATCTGTAACATTGGAGTTACAAAGAAGATGCCAGTAGATGACTTTAAAAGTCTTGTGCAGAGATGTCTTGAGGATGTACACCCAACGCAGGAACAGAATGTTAATTGCCAACTTGAGAAGCATGACCGATACTTTTGCCCAGAACTGTTAACTGATACTTTGGAAATTGTCAACGTGACAGAGGTAACTAATCCATGTAACATTTTTTGCAAACTCCACATTTTTTCCAAGGCAGTGAAGATTTTATCAGAACAGATCCAGCAGCACTATAAAGAGAACTCCGATTTAGTAGAAACACAACCTTTGACCTGCGGGGATCCATGTGCTGCTCGAGGGATAAACGGCAGATGGCATCGCTCGTTGGTAAAAGAAACAATGACTAGCGATGGTGCTATAGAAGTTTTGCATGTGGATGAAGGAAAAATTGAAATTGTCCCAGTTGGAGACATTAGACCTCTGCATGGAAATTTTCTGAGAATGCCAGTTGTCACATATCCCTGTTCTCTCGAAGGTGTAAAATATAACGGCACAGGTTGGACTACAGGCCAGAATGAGTACTTAAAATCACTGCTCCTGAACCAGAAGTTTGTGGCAAAGTTTAACCACCACAATATACCTCAAGATGTCTATCATGTCATTCTCTATGCAGATGATGATTCATGCATAAACAATTGTTTTCAAGAGAAGTCCGGACCTTTTTCATCCTCCGAGACAGAACGAGATACAAATGTCCAGAATGAACCCATTCCCTCATCATTTCTCAGTTCACTTGGAAACCAACGTTGCATAGATTTACAGAACAAAGTCACTGTAAATGTTGATGGTTTTCAAGAAGAAACTTTGCCATGCACAAAGAACCAAGCAGTCAATGATAGGACCGATGGTTTACCCACTTCTGGAGCTGATGATGCTCATATCAAAGAGAGTTCAGATCTTTCAACAGGTTTCCCCTCTGAGGTGCAAAATGCTTGTGATGACGAGGCGTTCACTGTAGGAAGTAGTGTCAATGTAAAAGTATCTTTCATTGAAAGTTCACAGATATTCTGGTGTCAACCAATGAAAAACTGTGACTCTCTTAGACACTTGATGCAGGACCTGCAAAACCACTATGTATCCATCCACCCTCAGCCACTTGTTGAGTCAATCTGTGTCGTTCGTAATCCAGACAATGACATGTGGTATAGAGCAAGGATCATGGCAAGTCACCACTCTCCTGTTGTTGATGTGAGATTTATAGACTATGGCCAAACTCAAACAGTCCCTGTGCGAGATGTGTGCCCCATTGATCCAGCTTTCCTACAGCTGAATGTGCAGGCTTTCCAGTGTTGTTTGTTCAATTGCAAGAATTCCACTAATCCCACTTCCATCACTCGGACTGATAACGCAGAGTTTCAGCAGTATGTGGATTCATGCGCCTCGTCAAACATTGGGTTGAAATGCACTGTGAAGGCTGTAACATCTGATGAAGAAGGTCTGCTGCTCAATGTGGTCCATATTGAAGCACCATCTGACGGTGCATGCAAGCTTCCGACTCAGGAATGTGCACAGGCTCAAGCGCTCCTTCAAATTCCTCCACGGGTCCCATCAGACGTATACAATTACTCCACATACAATATTGAGGTTGATGGAAAAGAAGATGTGTGGATAACCTATTCAGAGAATGTCAATCGATTCTACTGCCAACTGGACAGGAATTTACACTTGTTTTACAAAGTGATGAAAACTGTTAAACAACTAATCAGCCAGCCACCGTGCACAGATCACCCACTTGGACTTGATAGCATTTGCTTTGCTAGGTTCAGTGATAATCAGTGGTACAGAGGTCAAGTGGTAGAAATGTCTCCAAAAATTAAAGTGCACTTTGTGGACTATGGTCATACCCTTTCAGTGAATGAATCTGATATTTGTCCCTTTCCCACGGAAGCAAGTGTTGCCAGGTCTGTTCCTGTGCAGGCTGTTCCACTTGGATTGTTTGAAGTCTCTACAGAAGTGCCACAGAAAGTCAACGAGTGGTTTTCAGAGAGTGCTATTGGCCAAATGTTCACCATTTCAGTGGTAGCAAAAGGGGAGAAAGGGAAGCTCATTGTTGAACTGTTTGCTGGAGCTCTGAATTTAAATGTGAAAGTCAGAGAGATGATATCAAAGATGACACAACAAGAGACAACTGGTCTCATTCAGCAGACTGACCAGCAGCTCTCAAACGGCTCAGAACATGACACTGTGCAAAATGAGGACTGTTTAACGCATGAGCTCATGAATGTATCCGTATTGACAACGATGAAAGATCCCAATAAAGTGCACAATAATGGACCATGTGCGAGAGATGAGCGGAGTTCACAATCCATGACTAATTCCTCTGCACAAAAGTTTGAAAAGAAGACTTTAGATGAAGGAAGAAAACCAACTTTGGATATTATGGACAAAGAAATTGAAGGTGGCCAAGGTGACTCAGTAACACAACTTTCCCCTTCTTCCTGTCCCGAGGGAAATGTGAACATCTGCATGTACAAGTGGCCAAACATTTCTCAAAACGGAATCAAGGAGGTATATGCATCCTGCATTGTTGGACCACATTACTGCTGGTGTCAGTACGCCAACACTGAAGACTTGAACATAGTGTCGAGTCTTGCTCAGGAAGCGGGACAGACACAACAGGACATGATGTTCCCTGAGACTCTTGCTCCTGGCAGTCCATGCCTTGCTCAATTCTCCAGTGACAACAAGTGGTATCGAGCTCAAGTAATTCGCAGAGTTGACGATGCCTTCCGTGTCTTGTTTATCGACTATGGAAATGAGTGTGATGTTAACTTCAAGAATGTGAGATCACTGCCACAGAGTCTGCTGGAGAAGGCTCCTCAGGCCTTTTTGTGCTCTTTGAATGGATTTGATGAGTCCAAGGGCTCCTGGAATGACGAAGTTTACGATGACTTCTACAATCTTCTGGTTGATAAACCACTAAAACTGACAATGTTCAACATGGATGACCATTCAGAGGCTGCAGTTCCCCAGTATGCAGTGGAAATTGAGTGTGACGGAGCAATTGTTAATGCAGCAATGCAGAAATACTGGAAACCAGTTGCCAAAGAGTGTGTTTCAATAGAACACCCTGAAAAAGAAGCTGTCCAAGATATTCAAACTGAGTCCAACATGACACATCCTAATGTTTGCAAAGGAAATGTGAATACTTATATGTACAGGAAGCCAAAATTCTCCAAAAAGGAGGAGGTATATGCTTCTTGTATTGTGCAACCCCATTTCTTCTGGTGTCAGTACGCCAACACGGAGGAGCTCAGCGAAGTGTCAACACTTGCTCAGGAAGCAGGACAGACACAACAGGACAAGATGTTCCCTGAGACTCTCGGTCCTGGCAGTCCATGCCTTGCTCTCTTTTCCAGTGACAAACAGTGGTATCGAGCTCAAGTAATTTCCGGAGTTGATCATGCATTCAGCGTCTTGTTTATCGACTATGGAAATGAGTCTGACATTGACATGAAAAATGTGAGATCGCTGCCTCAAAGTCTGCTGGAGAAGGCTCCTCAGGCCTTTTTGTGCTCTTTGAATGGATTTGATGAGTCCAAGGGCTCCTGGAATGACGAAGTTTATGATGACTTCTATAATCTTCTTGTTGATAAACCACTAAAACTGACAATGTTCAACATGGATGACCATTCAGAGGCTGCAGTTCCCCAGTATGCAGTGGAACTTGAGTGTGACGGAGCGGTTGTTAATGCAGCAATGCAGAAATACTGGAAACCAGTTGCCAAAGACCGTGTTTCAATAGAACACCCTGAAAAAGAAGCTGTCCTCCAAGATATTCAAACTGAGACCAACATGACACATCTTAATGTTTGCAAAGGAAACGTGAATACATGTACGTACAAGAAGCCAAACTTCTCCAAAAACAAAAAAGAGGAGGTGTATGCTTCTTGTATTGTGCAACCCCATTTCTTCTGGTGTCAGTACGCCAACACGGAGGAGCTCAGCGAAGTGTCAACGCTTGCTCAGGAAGCAGGAAAGACGCAACAGGATATGATGTTCCCTGAGACTCTTGGTACTGGCAGTCCATGCCTTGCTCAGTTTTCCAGTGACAAACAGTGGCATCGAGCTCAAGTAATTCGCAGAGTTGACGATGCGTTCTCTGTCTTGTTTATCGACTTTGGAAACGAGGCTGATGTTGACATCAAGAATGTGAGATCACTGCCTCAAGGTCTGCTGGAGAAGGCTCCTCAGGCCTTTTTGTGCTCTTTGAATGGATTTGATGAGTCCAAGGGCTCCTGGAATGACGAAGTTTACGATGACTTCTACAATCTTCTGGTCGATAAACCACTAAAACTGACGGTGTTCAACATGAATGACCATTCAGAGGCTGCGGCTCCTCAGTATGCAGTGGAACTTGAGTGCGAGGGAGCGGTTGTAAATACACTGATGGAGAAATACTGGAAAGGACTGGACACAGATCATGCCTTGGAAGAACGTTTGGGATCAGGTTAGTAGGCTAAACTTAGTGTCACTTTTCAACCTTAGAAAGTTCTTGTTGATAATTGAGATATCTTGTGTTTTTAAAGAATGTCGTATTCACTAGTTTACTTCATGCCTTTCATCTTTAGTGACCCAAGATGAGTGTCAACCTCTGCAAGGGAAATTCAAGTCATGAAGGTGAATTATTGATATTTAGACACAAAAGCAGATTTTATGTTATCAATTTGTGATCTTATCTTGGTGTATATTTTTCAGCTCTGGACCAAGATGAATGCCCATGGGGGAAAACCCAGTTGCGAGAGAACAGCCTTTACTTTCGTGCACTGAAAGTTCATATTTGTCTTGTTAGAAATGTTATTTTACTAACTATATGAAATGAAGCTTGTCCTGTGATGAATTTGCCAATAAACACAGTGCTTGTATGAATATATAAATGAGTGATTCTTTGTTTTTATACATATTTGAAACAGGCCATTTAGTAGGTTGGGTTAGTGCTGCAAAGCTTTTCAAATGGCCAGGGATTAACAGACTTCAGCTCTTCAGCATATATTGAGTCTTTCTATTTGTGTCGACGAAAGTGATCCAATTTGGGTATCCATTATGATACTGGAGCCCCTCCCCAGCCCAAATGGAGACACAAGACACTACAACAGCATACAATAACTCCTGATATTCACCCCCATCAAACATTTCTGGGGGAGCGACTGCACATCAATCTATTCAGTGCGTCATGTATCTAAAATATACAGACCTTGGTTTCATCTACAGCAGGTGGCAGCATTTACCGTCTACAGACTCTGATTAGCACCGGGTCCCATCTTTTGTGTTTCCAACTGTTGCTAAGCACCCACAGTAACTAAATGACCAAGTTGCACCAAGCAGCAGCAGCGGGGGATTTTGATCGAGTTGAGGAGATTCTAATGCAAAATGAATGCAATCCAAATCAGAGGGACATTGACTGGAGCTACAAGACACCTCTTCACTGGGCAGCAGCTCAAGGTAGTTGGTGGATCAGTGGAAATATACCGTGTCCTTAATTCCCCTGATACACCTGCAGGTCAAATATCATAGTTTTACACTTGTTGCTATTCAAATACTGTTTAGTTAAAGATAACAGAAGTGGGTGTCCAAGATGCTCTTAAAGTGGACAGTCTCATACTGTATTTCCCTCTTTTCTTTCTTTGGGGACTTTATCTTACATTTATTGTAACGTTAACTGTTTCTCCATCAAATGTATTTATTTTTAAAGCAAATTCAATATATCAGTATATTTTTGTCAGGGTTGACTCTTGTGTCTTGAGGTTTAAATGAACAAAACTCTTTGTAACAGTACGCATCAGAAAACATAAATAATTCATGCTGGATGAGACCAGACTGATAGAGTATCTATTAGGTATCCGTCTGTTATTTAAGATACCTGTCAATTAAATTTTATGTTAATGCTGTTGGATTTACCTTAGTTTATTGTGTATTTTGTGGTTTCATATTTGTTTCTTTTTACTAGGCATTAGTCATCTATTTTGATATTTTTCTTTCCAATAAAAGTTATGTCATATCAAAAACACGTCAATCAATATAAGCAGGATTTGGATTTTGGATGTAAGGGCTTTAACCATGCACTGTTCATTTTGTAATATGTCAGAAAATCTTGTTAAAAGTCCAACATTTCATCCTCAAATGTCTTTACATTCAATTTGCGATGATGTAAAACAAAGAAAAGAAGCAATCAGTCACACTGAAGAAACTTGAAACAGGGAATGTTTGTTATTTCTGCTTGATAAATGGCTTATCACATAGGCAATTCATCAATTATCACATTTGTTGCCAAGAAAAGTTCTCTCGATCAACCAATTGATAAATTGTTTCACCCTTATACCCTTTTGTTTACTTGTGGTTAATGGATTGCGGCCTTAATGTGAAGTGCCCTTTTTGTTCCGTCACTGAATTTATTGTTGTCTTCTGTTGCTCCTATTTCTTCCATCTTATTTATTGAATTTCCGTTCCCACAATAAATAATATATCTTTTTATGTATTTAAAAACATCAGGTCTTCAAATCACTGCGATGTCTTTTCTACAGGACATACAGAAACGGTCAGGATCCTCATTGAGCATGGAGCCAGGCCGTGTCTGAGGACGGAGCATGGATGGACTCCTGCCCACAGTGCTGCAGAGTCCGGCCGGCTGGCTGTGCTGCGGCTGCTGCACTCCTTCCATGCCCCTATAGACAAGGAGGACTGCTGTGGAGACAAACCAGCACGGATAGCCGAAATATATGGACACCATGACTGTGTTCTGTTCCTTAATAAGTATACGATGAAGCCCATGTTTTCCAATTGTTATTTAATTCTCTAGTCTAAATCATACATTCCTGATTTTCTTACATGTGTCATAAATGAATTGCACCTTTCTTCTAAAAACAAAGCTTTTCTTTCAAAATTACAACCCAATAACAATAGCTTTAACAGTTAAATAAGTAAATTGCCCTGTTTTTGTATGTTGCAGAGCAGAAATTGAATGCCAGGCCTACCGCAAAATGGCAGCCCAGAAAGGGATTTCAGTGGATGACACAGATGAGGAGTGTGCAGAACAAGGAACGGAAAATGAAGATAAAGCGATCCGTAAGAGCAACATTCAGACGTAGGCTTAACTCACCTTTAGTCCACAAAGTGTGTACAAAAGTGGCATCCTTGTAGCCTTTTAGTTGACATTGTTACTGTGGCTTTTAAGGGCTTCCATACTAATTAAAAACATCTAATACACAGTATTGCTCAAACCACATGAGCAATAATATGTAATTTAATTTAAAGCAAAAAACAAAGAATACAGGTTGGAAATATTTCCTATTTAAATCACGAATATCTACAGTGGACTTTAACTTGTGTCACAGGTAATAAATCAAAGTAAACAACAATAAAGTAGTCACATCGGTAGAGACAATGTAGCTGCAAAGCTATTATCTGTGGTTTTATAAATGAGTTTGTTTCGATGTAAGAGTGCACATATTTGAGATGATTCTCAATTCCTCCAAGTTGAGTCTAACGTTGTGACGCTGTCAGTAGTCGATGCTGGCGCCTGGAGAGCAGAGGAGAAGGATGTGTCAAATGAATCAATGAGTCAATGTGGTATTTTAATTAAGAGTGAACCCAGTTGTAGAACACTTACATTTCTCTTTAGATGTTTCAGCAGTGCATCACGGGTCTGTCAAAGTTGAATTAAAACATTATTAATGGTGCTACCTTGTCTGTGGTTTGTAACATTTCTCATTTAACTTCTGAAGTGTAACCTCTGAAGGGTGTGGTAATTTGGATACACTCCCTGATTTCGGTGTAGAGCCACTATGCTAACGTTTATTCCCACATATTTGCCGATGTTTAAAAAACTCACCACAATTCCCAAGGAATTTACACCTTTTTAACCTTATCACAGAATCATGGAGTATGTATCTTCAGAGGAATAGTTTGACATTTAGGGATATATGCTTATTTGCTTGCTCAACAGAAATTAGATGAGAAGACCGTTATGTATGAAACTGAAGCCAGCTATTAGCCGAGCTTAGCATAAAGACCATCAGTGATGCTGTGCATGCCCAGAGGTAGGACTGAACGATAAATCACATTTATTTGATTACTAGCATTGTAAATGCCTTTCTGAGCTAAATTTACTCTCATCACATTTTTAGATCAGTGAAAGGACAGATTTATACATTCAAAATATTTGCTGCTGGCCTTCTGACAAAGTCACACGGTACAGTACCAAACATCAAAGCTGATCCAGAAATGCAAGAAACATTATGATTTAGGTTGGCGTTTTCCTTTAAGAAGTAAAACTGCCTTACCAGTTTGTCCGCCAGGCATGTGGTTAACAAAATGAACAAACCCTGCAAATGAAATGACAAGAGGTTACTGAGCAAGAAATACTTTTACGGGTCCAGATGTTTACTTAAGGATCATTCTGACCATACCTGGAATGAGTTCAGCAGGCTAAAGGTCCAGTGAACGATGGTGACGATGGTTCCAGATGTGAGGTCAAGAAGCATTACAGCAAACCCAAAAATCCAAGTCACACCGAAGATTGGAGTCAGAAGAATAACTGACCTCATGACAGTTATGGCAGCCTTTTTTTCATTTTCATCCCATTTTTCTCTATTCTTAGGGTGATCCAAAAGCTTAATGATGACCACCGCCATGGAGAACATGTTAAAGAAGACGATTGCACCGACTGGCATCACAAATGTATGGATGGACCCTTTCATAAGTCCAGCGTAACACAGCCAACAGGATTCACTGGAGTAGTACGAGCCTTCAGCACCGTTATTATAGGAAAGAAACGTGATGACAGCAATCAGCAAAGGACACACATAGCCCAGGACTAATGAGAACTTCAGGTATTTTTTCTTGCTCATGTTATGGAACAGGAAAATTGCTTGATGAAGAAGCATGCTGCTCAGACACAACATCCAAAAGAACATGGACAGGTAACAGAAATGCTTCAAAAACACGAAGATCCAACACCACATTTCTCTGTTGGCAGCACTTAGCTTAAAAGATGCCAAAAAACAGCAATCCGCAATGAGCAAACACAGACAAATGTTTACATGGGCAGTATGGCGTATATATAAAGTACTTGTCTTAACTATCGCATTCCAGACGATCAGTTCTATCGCGAGGGTGAGAAGGAGTGACACGACTGATACAGACAGTCCGACTAAAGTCAACTCTTCGAGCCCTCTGATTTTCACTGGATATTTGGACATTAGAATGGCAAATGAGGACAAATGTGTGCAAATGCAAACACTCTCACTGGAAGCAAGCTGCCATTCGCATCCTTCTGATGACCAACTGCTGGTGATGTTGTCCCATGAGACACACTTTAGCTTAACGTTGTGAGGCCTCGGCTTGATCAATGAGAAGTTGATTGTAACCTTAACTGAATCTGATTGATTCCTTTCAGTAGTTACTGACACAATGAGGCTGTTAGGCTCGAATGTTGTATCTTTGTTAGGCAAATAGTTCCCCAGTTCTTTAAACCCAGCTGTCTTTACACTGACAGGGTCCGAGCTAACAAGTTCAACGCTGTTATTGAATACCGTGCTGAGACATTTTGACCCCTGTGAGCAATTGGATGCGGCTACCTCTATATTTTTTTTTTTAGGGGCACGGGTTAAGTTGGTCTTCTGAATCAAGTTCTCAATGGAATCCAGATATGTCTCCGCCAATGAATTATTGCCTTTGTTCGCCTTTGCTGTCCATGATTCGTTAAGAGACTTCTCCAGCATATTGCTGGATGAGTTCAGAAAGCCCTGAAAACAAAAGAGCTTGTTTTAATGGCAGTTGAAGTAAAACATGTCTGCTCAAAGTTAGAAAAAGCCCGTTCTCCTGGTTGTATTGATCATGAAAAAGAATAAGTAGGGCTAAATGGTAAATATGTGTATTTGACTGTATTCATATTGAATATTGCATTGAAATGATTGATTTGACGACACATTTGGTTGGTGGTAGAAGCTAGTGAGCTTTAATAGCTACAGCAAATACTTCTTTACCAGCCATTTTTTCAGAAACACAACACAAGAGCAACAGGTGAAAACTGTTCTCATGTTGTTCTAACAAAGAACTCTTTCAATCATCTGCCTTTTCTCATCATGTCATCCGAAACCGAGAGGTTAAATGTCACCCCCAAAATTAACTACATTCTTTGGAAATATAAAGTTTTTGTAAGCTGAAATTCAATAAACGCAGGATTAGAAAATGCATTTTTCATTTCACTTTGTTATTATGGGCGTGCGGCTTAATTAACGAAGGAACTTGACCAAAACAAAATGCAGAGAAATTTCCGATGGCTTCCTCTTACAAAAATGTAAGTAATTCTCTTTTTGCCTCCGTATCGGAAACCCAATGATAACATTCAATAAAGATAATCAAAGATTGTGTTATACTTACATCCGCTGTGGAGTCATTATTTATGCCGTTTATCCTTTGACTCAAACTGTAGAGTACTTGAACAGATGCATTCATGTCGGCGACAGTGTTGATAGTCTCGGAGTCATTAGTGACACTCTCAAGGAGGGAAAATACAACTGCAGCATTTTCATCTAGTGAGCCAAGTCCAATGTTAACAATCTGTAACAACAGCGATGATTTATGTGTGATGAATATTTGTGTGAAAACATAAACATACCAGCAAAGATTTCATCTCCAATAAGCTTATTTTAATTTGCTGCTTTATATTCTGCTAATATGTTTGGTGTGAGTCCCTTTTCTATCAGATGACAGAGAGCTCGCTTTTAAATCTTTGTTATGAAAGCTTACATTTGCTTTTTGCAGCACACGGTTCACTGCCTGTTTCACACACATTGAAACCTCTGGTTCCCATGTCGGGTCCAACGTAGGGCCCAACGTAGTGCTGAAATGATCAATCTATTAGTCAATCGACATAAAATGAATCATCAACAAACATTCATTGGTTTCAGCTCCTCAAATTGAATATTAGCAAATTTCCTTAGTCTTCTGTGATGGTAAACTGGATCTTTGGCTCTGGACTGAACAAGCAATTGTGATGGGCATTTTTCACACATTATGTACACAAACAATTAATGGATTATTTAGAAAGAATAATCAGCAGATTATTTGCTAATAAAAATAATAATGAGTTGCAGCCTTACTTGCATTTCCTTTCTCTTTGTCCAGTCGCGTTCGTGCATTTTAACACTGCAGTGAATCCAGCTTTGGTGTCTTCCCAATCACCATCAGCTTTACAGAATGGGTCATTTTCTGTTTTGAAGAAGAAAAGTTAAGGCTTGCTTTGTCATGTATTACATATACATAGAACAAAGTGAATCTGATATTCTGTTGGAGCGCTGCAAAAATCTGGAAATTTGGAATATTTTATCACAGATCACTTTTTTGGTTGAACCTTTAACAACAAGTAAGATACGTAACAAACACAAGGAATACATAGTGCATACAATTCAAAATGTCAAAATATGAATTATATTGGAATGTGGATGCGATATCGGACAAAGCCATAGTTTTTTTGACAATATTTTACTTAAACACTGAAACATACCATATATGACATCGATAAAAGCTGAAGCCTTTCTCTCTTCCTTGCACCTGTTCTTAAAAGTGCACGTTAGTTGTGGTCTATTCAAGGATTGGTTACAGCTAACAGTGACATCAGCTGCATAAACATCATCAGATAATTTAAAAGGACCTGCAAGGATCACAAATGCATGTCATGTATTTGCAGTTTGCACAAGGATTCAGTGAAACGAATGGTCAAAGTAAATGTACTCACAAGCAATGATGTGTTGGCCTTCCCATGTCACATTATATTTTTCATTGTCGCTCTCTGTCTCACATCTCACTCTTATTTTCAGTGACTCAGAACCTTTTGTGCAGTGCGGAAATGTCGGTGCTATGGTCATGTAAATTTTTGGCAGGAGCGATATGTCCATTACAGCGCTGGCTTTGTGAGTTATGCTGATTAAGTCTGACTGTTGATGATAGATACATTTGTACTCTCCTAAGAAAAGAAAAAAAGATGAGTAAACATGAGTAAATATGGTAAACTTGTTAGTAAATTATTTCACACATACATCAGATACTGAGCAAAATTAGCATATGTGTTTCTGACCAAAATCCCCTTTTTGCTCTGTTTTGGTCTCCACCAACTCCTGAGGGAAATTACTGGCTAATTAGCTACTGAGTGCTGCGCTATGTTCACCTGCTAGTCGCTGACTTTGTCTGGCTGCTGTTTTTTGAGTTTTTTTGCTGAAAACAGAGCTGATGTAAGGAAGAATGAAGAGAGTGAAAGTAGTAATAACACAATGTAAAAATACTCTGTTACTCTAGTTATTTATATATTGAATTATTATTAGTATTGATGCAATAACGTGGACACAGTATTTAATGCTGGTCCAGGTGGAGCTCATTTTAACTACTTTATATTCTGATGGGTAGTTTAATCTATGAAAATGCATCATTATATATTTGCTGATCATATGTTTGTATGTAAAATCAAAGTATTGCACATCTGTAACATTGTTGAACAAATAATGCAGCAGACCTAAAGATATCGTCTTTTTTATCCCACACATTCTTTTTCATTGTCAAAACGTAGGGCCTATATTACCCACAATGCAACTCACCCGCTGACTGTACATCCCTCCAAAATGTAGTGGAGTTGAAACATAAAGTGTGTGTTGCGGATAGTTACATGTAATGATTATTTTATTTGTGATCAGTTACTAAGAACAAATATGGAATTAAATAACAGTTGCTTATCAAAATGTTGGTGATACAAAGGGGTTGCATCTCAATAAAATATTTTTGGTTAAACGCTTATATGTAGAATATAACATTCATTATTTTGCTCTGTACTAATCTTAATTCAAGTTATATTGAAGAACTTAAAAGTTTTTCAGTAATCAGTGATGAGTTTTGTTGTGAGTTTTACCATACTTGGTTTCGGCTTATGTTTTTAGGACTTTTCAGTTTAATTGCCCAGTTTGAAACATTTGTTAGAAAGGTTATCAAATGTAATGAGTTACATCCCTTTGATGAAGTAATCAAAATACATGACTTATTATATTTTTAACAAAGTAACTAGTAGTCTGTAACCTATTGCATTTCAAAAGCAATGTTCCCAACACTGAGTACAAGTACTTCAAAATCATACTCAAGTATTGAGTACATGTATTGAGTGAATTCCCACCTCTGATTACTCATTTAAATATTCACTGTACGTCAGCTGGCAGGCTGAACATGTCAAATGTAATGCAGTAATATACCTTCCCAGAGCTTGGATATGTTTTTTAGTGTGACGCTGGTCTCCATTGTTGTTCTTGTCACCTCTGACTCCGTGCCACTAAATATCCGAAATATTTCGCCCTCTGTCGTCAGCTGCCACACTGGCAGGGATTTCAGGTCCTCCTGTGCTGTGCATGTGAGGCTGGGCTTGTGGTAGTAACACACAGGGCTTTTGGGCAGCATACATAAATGGACAACACCTGCGGGAAAATAAGAGTCAGTATAGAATCCAAGGATAAGCTACATCCGGAAGGTACGCTGTGTGTCTCTCTGAGTGCCCTTCTAGTAAATGAATGAATTCAATCCAGGTTTAGAAAGAATCCTGACAGGTGCATCCCACCTTCCGTTAGATATTCATTACCTGTAGTCTCCAAACTAACTGATGCTGACAGAGTGCTGCTCAGGTTTTTTGACTTTTCAATCAACTGTTGTTGTTTGACCTGGTAAGCAAAGGTCATTTCAAAATCTACGATGATGCTTCCGACCCTTCAGTGAAGACAAAGTACAGATCTCAGTCGCATATTGAAAACAAAAAAATAGCAGAAATTATTTTCATTTGGAAAAAAAAGGAAGTACCTGTATTTGGTAATTGTTAACATGTCAAATCCTGCCAAAGTGCTGTACACTGTTTTCATCTGTAAGGCAACAACTCATCAGTATACTTTGTACAGATGACAATACCTCAATTACTTACACTATTCCTGCTCTGATAACGGTATTTCATTAAGTAATGTGCTTTTCATTCATAAGGCATTACCTCTCGTAATATTTTGTTATTACACTGCTGAAATTCCTCAGAGTATTTTTCTTCCAGACATTTGTAATGCTCCTGTCCATTTAAAGTAATGGATCCACTTACAGCAACTGTGACAAAAAAAAAGACGCATGCTTGATACACAATAAATACACAGACATATGCGCATGCAAACACAGGAGAATATATCCAAATACCTGTTTCTTTTGAAACACACATGGGAGCAGGCTTTTTGGTGAAGGTGCAGTTCTTGTCGCCGCAGCATTTCTCACTAGATTCCTGACAAACTCTATCGCTCCATATGAAGTCTGACCGGCAGCTGCACTCGGTGCCGGTCGAGACGCTCTGACAGACTGATTGGGGAAAAAAGCATTATTGTTTAACTTGGGGATTCATTTGTTTTTTTCTAATTAGATATAGAATATGTAGTATTTTTACGAAATAGAAAAATGTTTACTTGTTGTCATCTTAAGTTGATCCACTTTCAGGTTGGTGCTACTCACAAAAGTTGTCAGTTTCTCACTTACGTTTGCGATCGCACTGTCCTCGACTGTCAGATTGAAATAATACATTTGTGTTGAATTGTCTGAAACATACAAAACGGACAGACATCAACCTAAATGCAATAGTTTTTATACATCTTATCTGTTTAAGAACAATGTTAGGCCAAAATAAAAAGTTAATTTTGAAACTAAATAAATACAAATAAAAATAATTTTACCTTCTCCATTAGTCTGTAAAAGTCAAAAGAAAATCATTATATTTAATGAAATGTATTGTTGCAATTTTAAATTTTAAGATCTAATGTGTATTCTTATGTTGCTGATTTACCAGACAGACGTCTAGCCCCAGGATACAAAGAACAAATAAGGTCCACATCCTGTTCCTGCAAATAATCAATAACTGGTGAATGACTGATGGTATAATAGGCCTACTGTACAGTATGTTCATTTTGTATCAGACATCTCTACTTTTTTACATAAATACCTGTAAATTGAATCCCTACTCCCTGTTCTGCCTCATGAAGATTAGTGTGTCTGGAAACAGTTAAAACAGTTGCAGTTAAACACTTCACATCTATTTATTGTAGACCGAGGGAGAAGATTAAACTCTTCACCATTTTATCTCACACATTTTCTTGGACTTACAGGACACTGGCTCTCCCTCTAAAGTCACTCTAGTTTGTAGTTAAGATCATTTTCCAAAAAGAAAAATATTGGAGGCATATGTGTTGCAAAGTCTCTGCAGAGGAATAATCCCAACAAGTAAATAAAGACAGGTTGTATGTATGTAGCACGAAATCACAAAGTTGCCTTAAAGGTCTTTACACTCCAGACACACTCCATCCTTTGGATTTAGAAAAAAATTAAGTGTCACCATGTTTTTTTCTATTGATTTTGACTGTGAGCATGTTTACATAAATCTGTGCACCTTGTGCACCTTAATGATTGTATTAAGGATTACTTAAAGTGGATTAACTGGTTTATAAGTATTTGTTGTTGTTTACTCGACTCCTATTAACAGCTATTCTGATCCTATCAGACTAAATGGCCTGTCAGATAATAGTGAAATAATTTTACTAAATACCTGAAATTGACATTAAAAAAAAGAACGGAATCATGGCACATTCAAACTTTTTTTAGAAAACATTATCAATAGTTACAAAAACACAGTGAAACAGTATCTGCGTTGTATGTTTCACTGTAACAGCTCGTACATGTTCTTTGTAGAAATATATGACATATATATTAATGATAGATACTCAATATAGAAAGATTAGCTAACCTGTTTTCCTTAGTTGGTATCAGTGAACCATCACAGCATGCGTCTCACGATGTCTGTTGAAGCCGTCTGTTCCCACAAATGACAGCAGCACACCGATGGAGCTGTTGCTGATGCAGCGTACAAGGAAGTGAGAGTTAACTGTAGAATCTACTGAGGTAAGACATGCAAAGTAAAAAAAGGTGTTATGTGGATCTAATTTGACTTTCAAAAATGGTGGCTCGTGTCACGTGATATCAAAAACCTCTGGTGTCATCATCACTTTGACATTTTTGTTTTTCAGTAAAGTATTGGCATCCTAACACACTAAACTTTGATGAACATTGTCAGCATCATCCCTGCCAAACATCAGCATGTAAGCATTGTCATTGTGAGCGTGTTAGCTCAGAGCACCGCTGTACAGCCTCAGAGCTGCTAACATGGCTGTAAACTTCTGTTTTAATGCCTCCGTGTCGGCAATAATAATGTTCAGAGGCATTGGCTGTGTTCGATATCACATACTTACATACTATTCATACTAAGTATGACATAGTATTGAGTATGCAGCACGTTCACACTGCATCGTATGGGGATTTTGTGTACGCAAGAAATTCACCAATGTTTGAGACATTAGTTTACTGCACATTCTCAACTGCCCCACAATGCATTGCGTCTGGGTGCCTGAGACTGGCTGTCGGTCTTGTGAGATTTTTGAATTTGTGAAACCATCCCGGCCGTTGCTTTACCACAGTGTGACCAGTCTGCTGGTAAATTCGTACTTAATTGATCATTTCGTAGGCAGTATGCAGTGCATACTGATTAAGTATGTGCGCAGTGCGTTAGTGCGCAGTGCGTTAGTGCGCAGTGCGTTAGTGCGAAGGGAATGTCTTCAAATTTGGCACAAACATCCACTTGCACTCAAGGATGAAGTGGTCAAAGGTCACTGTGACCTCACAAAACACTCAAGAATGAATTTTCCAAGTTTGACAATTTCACACAAATGTCTCGTGATGAAGTGATATTATGGACAGACATGGATGTAAAGTGTAACTTGACTGGTTGGCGGAGGCATACAACCCTAAGGCGGTAATTCTACTTATTGTAGACGTCTAGTAGAACTTGCAGCCAGCGTTTCTCTTCATACACTCAAACACGAAACCGGCTACAAGGCTCTGTTGAAAAAGGGCCGAAGGTCTGGGTCCTGCATGTTTGCTCTATGCTGCAAATTGAGTTTATCCAACAACAGCTAAAAAGAAAGTTTTATATTCTCTTTTTTATTTATTGGAGTTTCTATTTGGGTAATCCATTGTTGTGATATTTCCAAATGTTTAATATACTGTATGTTTAGGTGCAGCTGACATCTAACAGAAAATGATGGCACATGCAAAACCTCATGCAGCAGAGGCAAAAAGAAACACAAAGATGTACAATGGCATGCAATTACAGCCATTTATAAAACCTTTATTGGGTTACAGACCTGCTAGAATTATTATACAACCCTTGTGTTTACGACTCTGATGTAAGCAAAGTATAGAGAAGCTTTGTAAGGCAAATGAGATATTTGTTTTAAATACACTAATACAAATATTTGTTTATGAGGAACAGCTCTATTTATTCAATATGTGACAGGTAGAAGTCTAAAAATGACAAAGAATGATATATATATATATATAAGCTGAAAGACAACGTAGGAAATGTGAGTGAGTTGGAGAGAGGAGTGCCGGGTGTTTCAGACACCTGAGTTTGTTGTGCACAGAAAGCGTAGCTGTTATCTTTAAAAATTCCAATGTCATGGCTGAATATTTGGGACTGAAACTTGCAGAAATTCTAAATAAAAAGGGCAAAACAATGCAAAGGGATAACCACAAAATCTTTAATCATTTTCAGTGTTTCAGCTGCAATACAGACACAAATTCAATCATACATTGTTAATAATTGAGGCGCCATCTTCTCACACAGGACCATTCATATACAGCTGCACTAGTGTTAAACATTTGTCAAGTATAGAATTAATACCGGTATAAAACGCTTTGTTGTTTTTTTGCTCTAAAGTTCACAAGACTTCAAATAATTCTCATAGAACGGTCTTTTTTTTTACACACATAAGGAACAGACTGATAGTGAACCAATGACCATACACCCGATGTTGACAAATACTGCATACAAACTGCATCTCTTGTGTTGACTGGACGATGTTTAGCTTTGACTTTGTTGCAGCATTTGAGTGCAAATTCACATTTTGTCTTTCATCACAAGCAAAGGCTAAAAAATAAGAAATAAAAATACATTCACTTTTCTTTTTTTTTTTTTTTGTCCGAGCGCTTTGTGTGAAGACTTTTTAACCGTTTTCCAGCTATACGTTAAACCGTGATATCACACAGTTGTTTCGTGCTCCACAAGAGCTGTTTGAACCTCGGGAAGAAATTTGTCCTTCTCTTCTTGGGACGTTCCGTCCTCTTGTGGTAAGGCCAGTCCATTGCCTTCTTTGTGTTGTGGAGGCCGCTAAGAGAATAATTAAAAAGATCACTAAAACAGTAAATATAGCAGAGCAGATGAATTAGCTGACCTTAACTACTCATGACGAGGATCTATGTTGAAGTGTCCTTGAGTAAGACACTTTCCCAATCCCAATTCGGACCCGCAAAGTCTGTGAGGGCTTAGGACTGTCCCACAGTCAAATCCTTTACTGCTTGAGGGCTCTCTGGCAGACATTTTGAGCCCTTTATACCTGACTGAAATTATCCACAATTTATAGTGTTGGGACATTAAACACAGAGTTACCAGAGGAAGCGCGGACAGCACGTGTTCAGCCTGGCATATTCAATTTACACAGAAACATTAACATTAAAGATTTAAGATGCTACATAAAGCAAACAATAAAGTCAGAGTAATGAAAGCTAAGGTTATTACATACCTGGTTTAATCATCAACCATTTCTTTTAATTGTGCTTTTTGAAGCCGTTTTGACAAAAACAAGTTAATAGATTCTTTAAAAATGACATCTGGTCTCGTAAGGAAACAGCCTGGAAGACGTTCAAGTCAGACGTATAATTTAAAACATAAAAACAAAAAAAACAATTGTAGATGTTTTGGAGTCGCCAAGGTATATGTGCTGTCCCGTCATCGTACCTCATCATTTCAAGCTCTGGCAGCCTCTCACACTCAAGCATTTACTGACGAAAGTTAAGTCCCTGAGGGTTCAGGGTTTAAGGCCTGAGGGGGGGACGTTGGTTCGGGCCCTAGTTGCTCTCAGAGAGCTCGACAGCAGCTCACTGCTTTAAAATGCTGCCGTTAAATGCAGCGGTCAAATGTCACTACGTTGTGCTGCGTACGATTGTAATTGAAGTTTTATGGATCACTCAATGTATTACAAATCAACCTTTGAGTATCTGCTGGAAATGTTACAGCAAATCATCCAAAAGTTAAAAAGATATTTCCCCCAAAACAAGACAAAATGTCAGAGGATCACCAGGGTTATAAGAAAAACATGGTGTGAGAAACATTAATGTCTGTACAATTTATTTTTGTATTTCAGTGAGGACCAAAGTGGATTTCTCTTTGGTGGATGATGCTAACTGTTTAATGATGAGGAACATAACCCAACATTACCACTAACATGCAGTCAGTATTTAGTTTCATTTCATGGCAGGAGTCTGACGGGTATTCATAACTCTACTGACCGGCTGTCCCAGAGGAGTCAAGCAGCAGAGCTTCTTTTTGAGGTGTTCAGGTAGAAAACACAGCAGTTTCCCACACAAGGGATAGATTGTGCCTGGTGTCACATCTTCTTCTTTCATATGGCCTAAATGGAAAACATACATACATTTAAAAATATTAAAGTAAAATTAAACTCAAATGTATTATAAAATATCGAGAGCATGCGTTGTACAGTAAGAATTGGCTCACCTGTGAGGAAGCTGATGATCAGGCCGGTTAGAATGACTGTGAAGCAGTTGAAAGCGCCGTACCACATGTAGGACAACGAATAAAATCTGTTTAGTCCAGACGGTCGGCTGAAGGACAGAGAGAGATGATTAACTTGTGAAACGACCAGAGTAAAAACAAAAACACACCGTGCTGTCCGTGTACCTCAGAGTGAAATTGCCGAGTGCAGCGGTGTGAATGGCAGACGTCGTGTTGTCCGACAGCAGGACGGCTCTGCAGCCGGGCGGCAGCGGCCTCGTGCCGGAGCTACGGGTTAAAAGGCTCCCGATGCCGACCCAGAAAGACAAAGCCAGACCGGCTCCCAGACCTGCCAATGCTCCCTGGTAACAACAGGAAAACTAATACTTAACACAAGATACAGATACAGTAAGTAACTTAACCAGGTTTACATCGTCACAATAACCGTCTCAATCACAACATCCTGCTAGGAGGGTAAGCAGCTTTTGCATTCTGAAACACAGATTGACTGATTTTATTGTTATTATAGGAATTATTCTGATTGGATTACATTTATTAATGAAAATTAACTGTAAGGAGTGGTTTCCAATGTGGGGGTCGGGATCCCAAACAAGGCCCAAAATAAATCTGAGGGGGGTCACAAAATGATAACAGGAACAACCCCTACAAACTTAAAGACAGGATGCCTGTCAGTTAAAGGCCCCATATTGTAGAAAGTGAGATTTCCATGTTGATTATAAAGCAGGTCTTGGTGCTATATAAATACTGTGAAAGTAGCGCAACGCTGAATCCACGGACAAACGCACACAGCCCGTATTCAGAAACTGTGCCTTTAAACGAGCAGTCAGGATGCATCTCAACTATACAGTCACCGGTAGAAGTGACGCAAAGCTCTGTGTAGTCGACGCACTCAGTGAGACCCAGCTGCAGTGACGCTGTGAAGACGGCGACAGAACAGATACAGTAGACCGGAAAATGCTGACCAATCAGAAAAAAAAGGGGCTTTTTTCGGAGGAGGGTGGGCTTACAGTGAATAGAATGCAAGTGAGACTCAACCGCCGAATATAGATACGGTTTATAAGTTAAAAACACATATACAAAGGGATATTTGTGTTATTTAAACAGCTGCCTAATGCCTATGCAGATTACGTTTCACTTAAACACGACTAAAAATAGACTTCAAGCTTTAAAAAAAGTGTTTTAATAAAATGGAAGCTGTTGGGAAAATCTAATGACTAAAGAAGTATGTTGACTTACAAAGGCTTATATCCTCATGTGAGCGTTCGAGGCCTGTGCCCTCGTATGTCTGGTGTCTGAAACTTCCTCTGACAACAGCGTCTCACATATCTTTCCTCTTGGGGGGCTAGCAGATGTTTGTCCTAAATAATAGACAATAAAGCTGTAGCAGACGTCAATACTTGAGCAGAGCTGATTGGCTACCAAGACTTCCTGATGTCATAGAATGACCTTTGTACTAGAACAAACTGCTAAAGTCTTTTTCCAGGTTTTGTGAAGATAACGCTGTATGAAAAGCAATACGTGTGTACGTTATCCATGTGTGACAAGCTTATCGTATATGACCCTGTACCACCACACTGCTTGTGTTTAGCAGCATATATGACTGAGACTCAGAGACAAACCTCTGAGCAGCCTTGATCCATATATTCTGTATGTGTTGCAAGAATAAATGTCCTGTGATTAATGATTTTTACATCGGCCTCGAGTGAATTTTTCCTGTTTTCTGTTACTGGAGAACGCTTCTAAAAGCACTCTCAATGGGGATTGGCTGCTGAAGAAACAGGTGCTAAAACAATGAATTCAGGTTTATCCAGACAGACAGTATGAGGAAAATAAAGTGTTTTTGTATTGTAAGTATGTTAACATGCTCTAGTAGAAAACCCAAAATACAAGAATGAACCTGAAAATTGTCTCCTTTAAGTTTCCATTCAATATCAGCGCACATTGTAACTCAATTTCCAGAAAATGCGAATTCACGCATGTTTCCGTCCACTGCCGTTATACTACTGTAAATATTAGGAGTTGGCCACATCGAGATGAACAGTTGGTGGTGCCATTAAACCAGAGGCCACAATGCGATGGAAGACCATTGTTGTATCATATGGTTTCAATAATAATAATAATTTTGCAAGGTAGATCTATTGTAAAGCTGATGGCTTTTGGCGTGGACGTCACAAAATCACTGCTTAAACCTGAGCTGAGTAAATCCTGAGCTACAGACTCATGAGGAGCAAGAGAAGGCCATTTCTTCATTTAAATGTGTGAAAGAAACAACATATTAACAACATATTAACACTAATAACCTGGTAGACAAGTAGACACAACTTTAATTCATCATAATTTTTACCACAGTAAGCAGAGTAGTTACACTGTATAGTGTCTCATGACAAACTACACGATAGATCTCAGTGATGAGGTTTAACTTACAGTGGAGTTGGCCCACGGGAAGAACATCCCGAGACAAAACAGACCCAGAACAGGACCGCCAACCATCCCGAAGATTTTCAAAGCCACCTGGAGTTCAATCACAATAACAATGAGTGCACATTCAGCGAGAAATGTTATCGCTGTTATTTGATCACACAACTTGTGAGCTTGCCTGTAGAACAGAATCGTCCATCAGGTGAGTGAGATAGGCCATGGCCAGACACAGCAGCCCGTAGCACATCGCTTAGAGCGGAGACACAAGTTGAAAAGGTTTAGAACAAACGTTATTACGCAGCTCTGAATCGTGCGCCGATGAACTTCGAAGAGGCTAACCTAAGACTTTGGACAGCAGGGTCGCTCTTGCCTCTGTCATGGCGGGGAAATGTGGTTTGACGAGGTCTTCCATTGTCACAGTGGCCAGAGAGTTAAAAGCAGAAGAGATGGTGCTGCACAGGAGAAAACATGTACCGTACATACCATTACTGCCATCTTTAGAATACATCAAGCAACAATGAAGCGTAATGTTAATTATTCACCCTCTTTATTAATGCAATTGCATTAAAAAGGTTTTTTTACACCCATAGTGAGAGACATCAGGGAGGCGAACAGCCAGAATTGAATAAAAGCTTTTCATAAGATTCAAATTTAGATGTTTCTTTTTCAGGATAACCAGCACTGAAACATTTGATGTGAATAACTGCATTAGATTTAGCATTAGATTTAACTGTATGAGCATGTTTGAGGATGAAGTCTGTGAGGTTTTTGGTGTAACTGAAGATGATGAAAAAAAATGTATGAAGTGCAACAAGAAACATTATCTCGATTCAAACCATGTCACCAACACGTATGACTTTATCTGGGACACCTGAGTAGTTTGCATGTGTTATTGAACTTCTCACAGCCTCTTCCCCCGGTTATGGTGAAAGGGACACAACCAAACTTTGATGCTCACTTGTTGCTTGTACGACCATAACAACACGCAAGAAGTGCGACAGCTGATTTCACTGAGAAGCGTCAGAGAGATAGCTGTTTGTTGACTGAGTTCATGTGAAAGGTTCAATTTAAAAAAAACTAGATATAGACTGACGCTGTGGAAAGTCCCGTACCTGAGAGCTGCACTGAACAAACAGGCAACAAACAGTCCAGGTAGACCAGGCAGACCTTGCAGCATGTCCATCACAAAGTATAGCACCATCTGTGGAAAAGCCACAAAATAGACATGAAACCTGGTTTGCATAACATTGTTAGTCACCATAAACGGAATTCAAATCTGACAAGGCAGGTCCTATCATGTTAGAAATACTTGCAATACATTATGCAATACTCATGTTGCTGTAGTGTTGCTGTTAAATATATGTGTTCTGGAGGGTTTTTACAACTTAACTTAACTTTCATCTTTCACACTAATCTCTTAAGATCCATGAAGCAGAAGAAGCTAGAAAAGAAAAGTCACAAAATGCGACGCAGATGATTTGGTCAATAACGACACTAAAAAGCGGAAATAACACACTGGAACTCACCGCATCCCTTGAAGAGGTGGGCAGCTCGTCAGTGAGATCCTCTCCACAGTAACGTGCAAACATGACCAGTCCCATCACACAGCCTAGGGCCAGAGACAACTGCAGGGAGGGGAACGCCATGTAGCAAGACCTGCAGACAGGAAGGAAGAAACGTAGTACAAGTGGTCGTTTCTGAGGTCTGTTCTTGTCCACTAAACACACTTAAATTACAGATAGCGACTATTTGAGGCTGTAATTAGACTCAGAGGTGCTTTGAGCTCAATGCTAACATAAGCACGCCATTATGCTCACGATGACAATGCTGACGTTTAGCTTTTAAAACGTTTAACATGTTCACCATCTTGGTTGAACGTGTTGGTATGCTAAAATACAACGCTATACAACGTATACACACAAAGTGCAGCTCACCTGACAGCCTCTTTTTCTGTGCGGGCGCTGAGATATCTTTGGACCTGAGCCTGGTTGACTCCGTACAGGGACAGCATGAGGAAGACCCCGCCAACCCCCAGAGTCCAGAAGGTGTGTCTCTCTGTAGGATCTGGGTTTAGGCTAAACACATGAGGAAAACAAAAACAGTATGAAGAAAATACTATAATACTTTAGAATATTCCAGCATAACTCAATATTTTTTACGACTCATTGTTACACGCATTTCTTAAGGCTTCAGTTCAGGTTTTAAAAACCGTTCCTACAGTGAGAACAAAAGCAGTCAATGTGGATTAAACTGTGGGAAACTTTTCATTGCTTTAACACAAAACGCATTCAGTGATCCCATCTTTCAGATTTCAGTATTTACAGTTAATTTACATGATTTAAAAAAGAAATACTGAAAATTAGACTGCAATTTGCTACATCACCAACTAAAGAATAGAGAAGGACAGAATTTCTGCAGTAAAGAGGTGCAATTATTTTTGTTGCACTTTTGGTTTGTGCAAAAAAAAAATATATACAAATATAAGCTAACAGTGATACATGTTGTAATACTGTAATACTACACTAGTATTGCAGTGTGTTGTTTTAAATGATTGTGTTTTGAGTGACATTGTCTCAATGTCTTTGTTCTGATACTAGAGTTGATCCAGAGATTTATAGGAAGTGTTTTAGTAATTACAATAACTAACTGTAAAAAAAAACAAAAAACTATTCACTATCTGTAGGAAAAGATAAGAAAGTCTTATTTTTATTACATGCTTGACTGAAAATGTTGGAACATAAAATTACATAATAACATGATTGTCTTGGATCAATCTTCTTTAAAAAGCAACAAAAATTTCAAAAAAAACTGCAGCAAACCGTATTTGTTTTTATTTTGTAACCAAAAGAAAATCTTCCGTTTACTCAGAACTTTGTGATGTTGGCATTTGCAGAACTGATTTCCACTTAAAGAGCTAGGGTGGACTCACTCGAGAGCAGAGAGGCGGTTTCCCTCCTGGACTTTCCTCCAGACTTCAGACACTCCTCCAGTCTGATGCACGCCCACCACGATGACAGCCAGCTGCCCTGCAAACATCACAACGGTCTGAAAGACGTCCGTCCAGATGACAGCCTTCAAACCACCCTGTCAGGAGCAGACAAGACACATGGGAAATGAATCTGATATATCCCTCATTCAAATGCTAGATATCGGTCTCCGTAATCTTTTATATTAATGCATACCTCTAAAATGTAGAATACAAGTGATTAATGGGCCTTTCTTTTTAAGATTGACACTTTTGTCAAACCATTTTTGACAAAGCAAACTGTAATTCTAAAGAATTTTGCATGTTTTTACTTTTGGGGGGGGGGGGGAAGTTGTCAAGAGAGACATGACACCCCACACTGGGCCTGTTAAGGTAGAGTTGGATATATTCAAATGTCAACAGTTCAAGTTAAGGCCTATAACAATGACCTTTGATAACTCACCATCGTTGTGTACAATGTGCATACTAGTCCAGTAGCCAGCACTGCCGCCCACAATTCAAATCCAGTAACTGAAAGAAAACCCCGCAACACATATATGAACCACAGATCTTATCTATTGAAATTTACTGAGTCAGAGAAAAAATAAATGAACTTGTCTAACCTGCGTTTAGTGCAAAGGCAGGAGTGTACACACAAATCCCCATATAGATAACCTGTAGCAGAGTAAAGGACAAATCAGAGACTATCCGCGTCATAAAAGTGGATAAAAATAAAGATGTTCAAGGCGATAAACAAACGTGTCTCTTGTATTTTTCAGGCTTTCTGATGGGGATGCACCAATATTATCCACTTGATTGTATCAGGGCAAGAACAAACTAGTTAGAGAAATAGCTTTGGGAAAAATGCTTATTTGCCTTCTTGCCAACACAATATCGAGAAACAGCTAGCCTGGCTCCGTTTAAAGGGAACTACTCCTGTCTAAGAAATAGTCTGACACATGTTCACAGTAAAACCACAACGTGTCACTTTTTACACTTTGGCTTTTGCAAAGATTAAACAAAACAATATACAAAGTAATTAGTGAACTTTAGAGATGTAGGTAAGTTGATTTTCTTACCTTTGGACAAGAGCCAGGCTAGCTGTTTGCCCATTTCCAGTCTTTATGCTAAGTGAAGCTAACCGGCTGCAGGCTTAAGCTTCATACAAGAACAAACGTGAGAGTTTCATTTTCCTCATTAAACTCTTCAAACTATTCCTTTACACTGAGTGGGTATTGGTTGGATGTGACTGATGCACAATAAATACAGTTTCATTGTCAACGTCGACTGGCTGCCAACTTAAGCTTTTAGCACCGTGGCCACATGTTACCTCACATGAAAATGAAAAATGCACTGCGATACTATCAGATCGGTATATGTGTAATATTGGTAATGTTATTCGGAGAGGAAAAAGTGGCATTGGTGCATCCCCACTTCATTATGAGAAGTGTTGCACCCACTGTCTGAAAGATGAAGGCCAAAGTTCCACAGATACGCACTGCTTTGCAGAAGCGCAATTCAAGATACTGTGAAACAAAACAACATAAGAAGTGTGCGTCATGAAGGATACACACCATTAATATGCACTCATTGAAATCCAACAAAACGGCTCCGTCATACCTCGTAAACACTGGAGAGCCTTAGTTTGTACAACACAGGAATGAAAACGTGCGCAGGAATGAGGAGGCCGAGAAAGTAGGCACAGCCGATGAACCAGTACTGAGTACCGTGAGTGTAGATCTCTGCCGGTACACCGATAATCGCCACAGCAGACTGGAATGAGGCGATGAGCGACAGCGAAACGGGAAGACAGCTCATGCTCCTGTCCGCCATCAAGAACTCCTGTGTGGTGCGCTGACGCCCGCCTGAAAGAGCATGGTACAGCCCGATGCCCACAGAGGCAACGAGCAAGGCCGCAAAGATCACGTAGTCTACGGCTGTGAAGTGCTTCTGGTCGGACAGGTCCATGTTGATTGTCTTTGAGTCTCAGCTGCAGACGGTTTGGTTGTCCTTCAGACGGATGACAAAAGTCTCTGTCCACACCCATCAGTCAGGAGAGCGCAGGAGCCTTGAAGAAAGGAAAATCAAAAACACTGATAAAATGTATTTGTGTGAGTGAGAGAGTAATCTTTGCTGGCATGTTGACGCTTTCTGCATCCAATGATCTTTAAAACAAATCACTTTGCTTGACGGGCAAAGAAGTTAACCTACACATACTCTCCTCGAGTCCTGGATTCCACTGAGCTGTTTACAGATTTCTGTTCCTTCACACAGCGATAGACAGAAGGGGAAATCACTGCAGTCACCTAAAGTGAACTGTTTGTAGCAGAACAACATTGTTACATGAGACAAGCTCCTGGTCTGCACACAAGCCGAGGGCACACAACCTGTGTGTCAACTTTACCCTGCTTGTGCTGCTCCAAAAATACTGCCTGCTGGTTTGGGAATGTTCAGAGAGAGGAGGTGCACTGCTACTCTGCCATCTGCTGCCTTTGTGAATACTGCACCACAAACACAAACAGCAGCAACAGACCTCTGAGGGTTTTAAAGGTCAAAAGCAAAAAATAGGTGTAGCATGTTTTCTTTACTCACATTATGAATGTGTGAGGACACAAATAACCGAAACAAGTAGCTGAATAATCAATTGGCATACAAAAATGAATGAGCAAACTATTTTTGATAGTCACATCATATTATTATCAGTTATTTCTCAAACAAAAATACCAAATATTTGCTGTTTCCAGCTTTTCGAATGTGAGGATTCTAATAAGATTATTATCTTATTAGATAATAAAAGAAATATAAATTTGGGTTTTGGACGGTTAGTTGCACAAAACAAGCTATTTAAAGAGGTCTCATCTGACTCAAGGAGATCTTGATTAGCAATTTAAACTAATTTAAGTATTTTTAAATGCGATTAATGCGAGAAAATAAGCAGCAGGTTAAACGATAATGAAAACAATCCTTAGTTGCCGCCCTATTCATAATATAATAATATATTATCACATTGCTGCAAGTTGGGGCTGCAACAAATCATCAGTTACTATGTCAATTATTTTTGCAATGCCTCAGACTGTAATTTGACATCCTCAAATGTCTTGCTTTGTCTGAAACCCCAAGATCGACAGACAGAGAAATCCATTATTTGAGAAGCTGCAGCCTTAAAAAAAACTTAAAATAATAAATCAAAGTAGTTGCTGAATAGTTTTCTGTCAAAATACTGACTGATTAATTGATGTTGAGTTGTCAGTTCAACCCAAACTCAACCATAGGAGGCAGCACAAACTACAATAAGGTCACTAAAGTAACTATTAAGAACTGCCTCCAGAAATAATGCAGGACTATTGATTAAAGTGACTTTTACTTGATTTGAAAACACTGCTACTGTAACGTTAGCCATATTAGTTAACTAAATAATGGTGCTACGCAGGAAAATAAAACTCAGTGACCCTCAAATCACTGACAACAGCCGACTGGACCAACGAAATAACATGAGGGAGTCTCACCTTTACACACCAACACTGTTGTAATCCGGGTGAGGCTAACCGTCAACGGCACCGTGCTGTTTTTACTGACACCTTCAAGAGCGCCACTTTAGTTAAAACCGTCTATCTCGTTTTCTCTCCGATTAAATCTCATCTTGTTTTAATCTCTTCTGCAGGTGTTCATAAAAGCGATAAATCAAAAATAACGACTGGCTAATCTCTCCGGTCCAGACGCCACATGTTTTGAATTCTCTTCCGGGGTTGAAACTAGGGGCGTGGCTGCGGATGATGACGCGGCAGCCGCCAAACTCAAAAAAGAAATCCACGATTTGGAGTGGATGTTTTCATCTAAAGCAGTTAAAACGTACATTATTTAACACAAAATAAATACTCGCGGAACATGGAGGGAGCTTCTACGAAAGGTAACCCGGACTGGTGTAACGCTAGTTTACCGGTACAGCTGACGTTATCTAGCTATCTGGTTAGCTAGGAGTAGTTTGTTGTGACGCTCCACTAGCTTAATGCTAACAGTCCCGACAGTCTATGAGGCTAATGTCAGCAACGTTCACATCTGTCGTTTTGAGAGTTAATCCAAGATGAGCATTTGTTCCTCCCGCAGGTGTTTTGAGTCATCTCAGTCTGCTGGAAGTCCAGGCAAGAAGCCGTAAAACTCAACCTCAGCAGCCGAGTCGCGTGAAGGAGCTGAAGGCTAAAGTTGAGGCGCTGCTGACCCAGAGAGACCAGCTGAGAGCCGAGATAGAGACTCATAAGGTGACTCCATGTTGACGGAAGAGTTTACAGCTGTTACACTAAAAGTATACATGACGTTACACTTAGGTACACATAGCCAAAACAATGCAGTCTATAACAGCTCTACCTTTATCCTCACCAGTGATACTGATAGTATGTAAATACTTATACTCAAGTATGGTTTTGAATGCAGGACTTTGACTTAGTGGAGTAATTTCACAGTGTGGTTTTAGTAACTGAATACTTAAAAAAGCTGCCCCTTCCATCACTAACGTCATTAATAACGCTGCACTTCTTGTGCTTTCTTGTTGGTGCTTGTTACTCCGTCCTGCTACAGAATCTCAAGAAACTGAGGGCATCTATGGACAAACGGTGTACACAAGAAGAAGAAGAAGAAGAAGAAGAGGGAATGGATGAAGACTCTGAGAACTCAAAGCTGCTGCGGCTGATGGCCAGACATACACAACTGAAAGACCTCCTGCATGCTCATCACGTCATCGGTACCCGTCACTCACCCATTTATTATATATTTGACAGTGAGATGTTATTATACATGTCTCTTATATATCTCAGATTCATCACTATGTTCTAATCCAATCTCTTGATGTCGCTCAGGTGGGTACAACGTCATAAAGACCCGTCAAGGTAAAGGGATGTGTGTGTCTCTGGCTACAGCCTATGAGGGCGTCTACTTAGAAACCTACAACCTGGAGATCGACGTGAAGCCGACTGTGAGGATCAGCCGTCACGACGTTCCCCCGTTCATTCCTTTAAACAACCTGGCCGAGCAGAGCAGCTTGCAGACAGACATAAGGACTCTTCTGGACCCCCTCAGCCAACATCTCAACGCCTTTGCTGGTCGCAAGCAGCAGTTGAAGCTTGTTAAGGTGCCAGATTTTGCTTTTAAAAAGCAGCCTATAAAACATTTATGTGCTACAGGTTCTTTTGTAATTCTCACAACATACTGTTTATAATACTAATATATATGATATATAATAATATTGGCCCACAAATATATCACCCCAATCAAACCTGCAGTGATTTGTGCATATTTCTTCAAAAACTTCAGATGAATAAATAGTGAGAAATTAAGTCTTTCTCTACTTAACATTCAAGGCTAATAGGATAATCTCTCATAGGAAATGTAGCTGCACACTGACCCTGTCCTCCTGCTTGTGTTACAGGAGCTCCATAAGTCTGTGGTAGTGATGGAGAGTAACGTTTTGTGTTCATTACTGGTGCTGATGTTCACGGTGCCGAAAGAGAAGACGCTTGTTCTCTGCTCACTTGACTACACTGACCGCACCAGATGTCTTCCCACACGAGTCCACTTCAAATGTGACGGTAGGATTTATTTTATATGCTGCAGAAGTTTCCCAACTCAAACTGATCGTTATGGATCTGCACCAATACAACCCATAATACATGTAGACACAGTGAGCGCTTCATGTAAGCCTCTGTACGTACAGTACGTCTCGGTAGTTTCACAACAAGCGCTGAATAATTTTAGCTGACATTCTTCTTTAGAACATCCCACTAGAGCTGGCACGATTAGTCATTTAATCATTTAGTCCACAACAATTTTCATGAGCGGTTTGTGAGGCAAATATACCAAATATTCTCCGGTACTCAGACGCTCAAATGTGAGGATTTTCTTCTCCTTGTTACATCATTGTAGATTAAATATCTTTGTGGTTTTTGACTGTTGGTCCAAAAAAATGTAAGAATAAGAAAGATGTCCCCTGTGACTGTTATACTAAATCAAATCCAGAAATGTGACTGGTTCGTAGTTGTGGTATAATAACCATATACCACGGCCAAACAACGCTCCATGGCCTCTCAAGCTATTGCTTTATTATATAATTTGTTTATTATTACACATGTGTTAATGAAAAAAGCAGGATTCCGCTGTTGAAGTGAAGGACTGCAACTAATATCTCCAGTTTTTCTTTTTTTTGCAGACAAGGAGCTTCCTGATTCTCCAGAGTGGAAGAAACACCGCAGCCTTCTCATGGAGACTCCTGTGCACAAAGCTTTGATAACCATGAGGAAGATGGGGAATATTGTGTAGTTTATTAGGAAATATAATGAAGCTTTTCTACATTTTAATGAACAAAATATTTACACTCTCATTGTTTACAATAAAACACAGATAGTTCAACTTTATTTTCTTTCGTGATGTTGCAAATGTCGAGGTCAGAAGATTCCAAACTGTGGAGGTTCCTCTGTGGAGGTTTCATATGTATTTCCATGTTGCTTTTGTCCCTGAGCTTTTCTATAAACACTGCCACCCTCTTGTGTAACGTCTCCCACTGAAACTGCCTCAGCTGCTCCATTTCCTCTCGGGCTTTCTGCTGTTGCCTGGCCAGCTCCTTTTCTGATATTGAGTCAATAGTTGCGATGTTTTTCATCTGCATGAGAGACACGCTGCTCTGGATGTTGCCTCTGCGTCTCACTGAGCCGGCGGGTTTGACCGACGGCGGCGGTGCCGATATCGACCGACTCTGCTCCACAAGTTCACGTTCTCTGTTGCGATACTGGGATTTGCTGGAGTACGATCTTCTGCCATCAGATGTTTGAAATTTGTGTTCTCCAATTTCTCTCATAGCGATGTTGACTGTCGCTTTGGGCTCAACCACTTTCACCATCACTACTCGTCTCTGTTCGTTCGTCAGGGAGTCTCTTCTCTGCTGAAGCATTTTGCGAGTGTACCTGTACTGTCGGTCCAACATGTCCAGTTTATGCTGGAGATCCCTTTCCTCCTTTTGGTTCAGCACTTTCAGATCTCTCTGCAGCACACTAGGTCTTCTGAAGCACTGATCCATTACAAGAGGGCTAGAAGGAGAAACGTGTTTTTGAGCCTACTTCTTTCCCTCATTCAGTCACTTTTTCTGTTTAAATTAAAGCTGAGTTTGTCGTTTTCTTACCTGATTTCTGTCCTCCAGAGCGCCGTGTTATACAGGTGCGTCTGCTGCCATGGCCGTCTCATTGTATGTAATATAATAGCCTATTATATTTGAAGGAAAGTGAATGGGATTGTTGGGGATTGTGTATTGTCCTTAAAGAGATTAAATTTCAAGACGTCGCACGAGTGCAGTCACGGGTCTTCTTGCAGGTTACACAATAATGGTTCACTTTGTTCAAAGTATTTCAAGAGCATACTTTCTCTAATTGTATGCAGCTGTAGTACTTTATTGAATAATGCTACGAGTCTCTCAAATGATCTTTCATTGTTTGTGGTCTAAGTTCTACTTAAGATTTTGCTGATAGTGCTGAAATATTTTTAATCATAATACATTTTTAGGATTTTAGCAATGCTGATATCACGAAATGTTACCATACATACACAAAATCTGCATATTTAAAATCTTTTTCTTATTTTAAATTCATTTATTTGTCATTTTCCGTTCATTTTATCTCATTACATGATTATTCTCTGAACTGATTTTAACTGCTTTTATGTAAATTCTAGTTCCAGCTTCTCAAATGTGAATATTTCTTGGTTTTCTTTGTCTTCTGTGATGGTAAAGTTAATCTCTTTAGGTTAAGACTGCTGGTTGAACAAAACAAGACATTTAAACTTGTTTAAGTTGGGAAGTTTCAAAGGGCATTTTGCCTTCAGGGCCCTCAAATGTTCTACGCTTTCTGTAGCAATTCAATCATCAACACCTGTAGCCACTTTTTTTTTAAACATTAATTTTTAGGATGCCATATACAGTATGTGTCTGTATGTGCACACGCCTTTACTTGCATGTGTCTGTGTATGCACATATGTTTTTGTGTTTGCATACATTATTATTATTATTATACAGTATTACTTTATGTCACGGTTATATTTGTTGTGGATCTTTTCATACGCTGCTCTACTTTAATAGTTATTGTATTGGTTTCACTTTTGGTTCTTTTATATTGCTTTTATTTGTCTTGTGAAGCACTTTGTAATATTTGTTTTGAAGAGTGCAATATAAATAGAATGTATTGTTATTATTAATGATAATATTTGTTGTACTATTTGCTGACATTGAATAGAACCAAAGGAGAAAATAACTGGAAGTCTGAAATGTTAATTATTGGTTCTTGCAGCCCTATTCTTATGGAGGATGAATCCCTTCATTTTACTTGTATTTAACACTCACATTTAATTAAGGATATTAGTGACACAAAGCAATATGAAATCCCCCTTTCCCTGTGCAGTGTCCCTTTAATATGCTCTGTCATATGACAGACCAGCCCGCCCCTCTGCTGGTTTGATCCCTCCCGCGCCAAACTGAAGCCCAGTCTGCATGATGGCACAACTAAACTTCCCCAAAACTCACCCAGTCATCTCAAAGTTGAGGGACTGTTGACATCGTTGTCAGGTAAGTTGCTGTTTTTGATGCTTTAACATAATTCAAAGGTAGCAGATCGGTTTCATGTCAAATTAGCAACTATCCTAAACTACAAACTACTGCATATGCTTCTTATCGTGCCTGTAATACAACCTAATCTCACTGCTGTAGATCTGTAGACACTGTAATCTAAGATTAAGAAGAAAACAGCTGAGAATTTAGATTTTTATAGCGCAGGCGCGTTGCGTAATGGGTCATGACAGTATGACGTAATCGTGGAATCGTTCACTGACCCTCCGTCATATCACTACTGTACTTTTAAAACTGCTTCCTCTTCCCTCTTCTTCCGTTTTCCAGCTTCTCCTAAATAGTTTTGTTCTTATTCTCACCCATGTTCCCTACATGCACAGTTATGCTTCCTGGGCTAGTTCATATGTTTTTGCTCTGCAGCTGTATGAAAAGCCAAATGGCCCATAATTCATCTGCATGTTTTCTTAATATATAATCATGCTTTAAATGTTATGACATCATGTTAATAACCTCCATTATGATATTTCTTATGTCCGTGTTAGCTATATGCAGATATGTGGCCATGCAGTTTTGTATGGAAGCCTGCATGGACCATGCAATGTCCAGCAGATCGGAATGGGCATTAGCAATGGTTCTTTGGGCGCTCGCTAACCTTGATGATATTACAGAGACACTGGTGCCCACAGATATATTAAGTGTCTCTTGAAACATGGAACAACATTTAACAACAGCTGCTTACAAATCCTTTGTCCTTGTTTCTCTGTTTGCATGCAGTGACGACACATTCCTTTGGGAAAAAGTTGTTTCACTAAAATTGCATGCACCTCTTTTGCACTTTGGGTTGCTCTGGAAGTGCTGGAGATGGATATTATAAATTTATGGTCAAATAAGATCAGAACTATCTGCATGTGTATGCTTAGATTAGACAACTCTTTAAAGAGCACATTATGCACAAATGAGCAGGATTGTGTTGGTGGTCAACTGACAAGACTTTGCAGTTTAGACATGAATAGTTTGATTCGTTAATTTAGTTTGACAGTTTATCTTGTGAAAGAAAATGGCACTAAAGCATTTTTTGCATTTTCAATATTATGTGGTCTATAAACAGATGTGTAGAAAAACAGAAATGTATTTACAGTTGAAACTAATCACAGAATAAACACTATATTAGTCATGACACGGGATATTAAAATAGCACATAAACACTGATGCATTATGGGCCATTATAAATGAAGGTAGACTGTAATTTCTGTAAGAACTGGTGCTCTCGGTCAAATGCTGATGCTGATGTATGCATTTTTTTTTTCTTTAATTACATCACAGTTGCCACTGCTCGGACCATAAATGCATCACATCCTGCACGCTGGAAGATTTTTACATGGAAACAACTACCAGACAGTGAGTGTTCAGTGGATATAGGTTACGCAAGCATTTGTTTCATCTCTACATTGTAGCATTTAAAAATGTTCTATATATTTTCTGTTTTCTTCTTACGGGCCTGGCACAAGTGTTGCTCTAGCTTTGCCAAGATGATGCGTGCAGTGTGTGTTGACGTACCGGGAGGACCAGAGAATTTGCTGCTGCGAACTGTCTCTAGACCTCAGCCTAAAGGTGGAGAAGTCCGAATTAAAGTTCATGCAACTGCCCTCAACAGGGCGGACTTACTGCAGGTACAATACAAAAGTTACAAAGCACAAGTGCATTACAACCTCCTTCCTAAACATATCTATTTACCAGCTGATTGTGGTAACTTTATGTGACGTCACAATCCCAGGACAGAGTGCATTCATGTTTTTGTTTTCCACAGAGGCGAGGATTGTACCCGCCTCCCCCGGGTGAGAGTGACATCATAGGCCTGGAGGTAGCTGGTACTGTGGATACTCTGGGTCCGGGGGTGAAAGGAGGCTGGAAGCCAGATGACCGGGTCATGGCGCTGCTCTCTGGAGGAGGATATGCAGAATATGTTTCTGTGCCTGAGGAGCTTCTAATGCCCATCCCCCCTGATCTCACTCTCTGCCAGGCTGCTGCGATCCCAGAGGCCTGGCTCACTGCTTTCCAGCTGCTGGTTTTCATCGGTACACATACACACAACCATGTTTGCTATTTTGTTTTTTTATTACATCAGACTGTCTCGTTAAGATTATGATCTCTTTTCCAAGAGACACCTGAGAACAAGAAACATTCACAAGAACACGATGATGAAAACAGAAACAACACAATAATAAACAGGAATAAACTGTTCCAAGAATCATAAAAAACACCAGATAATAAAGCATTAAAATCTCTTTAAAATGCAAGCTCTGTTTGTGGGCAGTTAGCAGTTCATTCCAGGATGCATACCTGAAATCAGTTCTTCCAACATCACAGCGTACATGAGAGATTCCTGAGGATTTTACAGTCGAGTGGAGATTATGCCATCTCAGTTTTTGTATTCTTTTTAGTCTAAATGTCTCTGTTTGTGTTTTTCTTTTCAATTATTTCATCTATGGAGCACTTTTTATTTTTGTTTTGATAGTTGCTCTTAAAATTAATAAATACTAGTAATGTTGTTATATCTTCTTGAGTTGTAAGTTCCTGAAAGAAACAAGACTCATCATGTGCTGCTCTCAGCAAGTTAAAACTAAAACAAAAAATACCTGAAATTACATGTTTATCCAAACAAATAAATGTGAAGATGGTGAAGTATTATTTTCTGTTAGTTTAAACTTAATGTGATACAACCTTACCATACCTGCTCCCTCTCTCGATAATTAACAAGGAGGTAAATAATAAATTCTGTTCTTGTGTGTTGTTGCCGTCTGTCTTCTCTGCCACAGCTCAGGTGAAGGAGGGTGAAGTAGTTCTGGCTCACGCTGGAGCCAGCGGAGTGGGAACAGCTGCTGTTCAGCTGGTTCGTCTGTTTGGTGCCGTGCCCGTCGTTACTGCAGGAAGCCCCGAAAAACTAAAGATAGCTGAGAGCCTGGGAGCTGCAGCGGGGTTCAACTACAAAGAGGAGAGCTTCGCGCAGGGAGTCCATGACTTTACTGGAGGTGAATTGTGTCACTGTATAGATGGTCCAATCCAATTTAGAACAAGGTGTTAGTTATTCTCTTTCTCACTTCCCGACTCTCTGGGGACTGAAAATGTTCTTTTTAGAAAAGTTACAAATAAACATTACCCAAACAGGAGGAAATCACGCATTTGTTGGGGACTATGAATGAATACATATTTGGTGCAGTGCTACAGTGCTACAATTCAGTTCACTAATTACTATCATTTCACAGGCAAGGGAGCAAACGTCATCCTGGACTGCATCGGCGGCTGTAACTGGGAGCAAAATGTGAGCTCTTTAGCCACCGACGGCCGGTGGGTGCTGTACGGCACCATGGGAGGCCGGGCAGTCGAGGGAGATCTGCTGGGAAAACTGCTGTCCAAGCGAGGCCACTTGCTCTGCAGCCTCCTGCGCTCTCGAAGCCTTCAGGTGAGAATTCAACCAGAAATCACACACTAGCTGTGCTTCTTCTTCTCTGCTTGTGAACATGCTGACTCATGCCAAAAGTGCTGACACACCTCCAGTATTTGCATGTGTGTAACTGAGTCTGATTCTCACTTTGTGTTTTCTATTCACAGTATAAAGCAGACCTGGTGAAGGCTTTCTCACTCAGAGTGTTACCGTGTTTCTCAGGCCAGCCCGCCTCCCTGAGGCCGGTGATTGACAGCACATTCAACCTGGAGGACATCGCAGAAGCTCACAGACACATGGAGGCCAACAAGAACACGGGGAAGATTGTCATTAATGTGATTCCACCGAATCAGGAGGCTCAGCGATTAACAGCTGCAGTAATTTGAACAGAAATGTAACATGCTCTGACATTTGATTTATGTCAATGAATCTTACAGAACACAACAGTGTTAGTTGCAAACAATTTGTCTAACACAAATGTTGATCATGATTTTAAATATGTCTTATCCACCAATAGTCAACAACAGTTCTTCTGTAGTGTCACGACTAACCACTGCTAAATGTTTGTTAGTATTGTGTTCATACTGGAGAGACCGACACTGACTCTCCTCTTCACATATATTATACAAAATAATGCCATAACATATTTTACAAAATATTACAGAGAAACATTAAAAGAGACTTGTGGTAAAAGCAGAGTTGTTTTCCTGTCAAATATATTAAAATCTTCTTATTTAATGAAGGCACGCTGAAGGATTTGCAGTTGCACTATGTCAAGAAACAACATATGATAAAAATGAATGCGTACAATTTACAAATTTTAATTCCATACAGATTTTAAAGCTTCCAAATTTCCCATAAATCATAATTTCCCATCTTTATAAAATAGTGTTTACTTTAATAATCCCCAGTAGAGGAACCTTTTACAATTTGAGCTTTGAATCTTTACATTTTAAAGTGGGTAGCTATATCATGATATTTTTCTATATCATGATTTATTTGACTAATGTTGTCAAATGAATGTAGTGGAATGAAAAGTGCAATAATGGTTTCCAAAATGAAGAATAAAGTAGCATAAAATGCAAAGTACTGTACTTGAGTAAACATTGGTAGTAAAGGAGTTACACCTATGTAATACATTCAGTAGCACACACACACAAATCAGTTAATATCATATAATTATATAGTGTAATCATAGATATAACCCTTTTACAAATTATGTACTATTACATTTACATCCTGCGTATTTTGGAACGCAGACCCGCGCGCATCAAATAGACGTCATAGGACCAATAAGACTTCTTCCTGTCTCGAGCTTCCTGCTTCGCTGCTAAAGTTCTCCTAATGGGATTGTCTGCGGATCATTAAGAGAGGAGACCTGAGTACCAGCTTCACTTCATGGATCAAACTTCAGGACAGTAAACGGACACACTTCGGACTCTATGATTCGACCAAAAACAACGACATTCATTCGTCCTGGAGGTGAGATTTAACACTTCCTCCTCATGCTAAAGTTAGCTAAGTCAGTTAGCAGTTTGTGGTGAATTTACCCCGCAGTGTTTAGAGTAAACCCAAGTCCTTACGTAACTAACGTTAACTATAGTTATACCATTAATACTGTCTCCCAGCATGATTGCTTTACCTCACGTTTGTTGTAGTTTATTTACGTTTTGAGCCATTAAATGTACTTTAGTTATGTGTTCTTACTATGGAAGTATTTGTGTTTTTTTCCACTTGTGAGTACAGTGAATTGCAGGCTTTCATTTATTTTGTTTACCATTTTGTTTAAATTCATTTTCTTTCTCAAGAAGCAAACATGCATACCATAATGTTGCAGGACTGGCCCATAAAAGATAAAAAAAGAAGAAATGGGGCACAGCTTTCACATATCAAGAGACACACCATGGTGCAATGAAATGATAGTTTGATAGTTGTTGTGTATACATGGCTCTGATCCATGCCTAGTGTTCCCAATTCAGTCATTTCCCCACAATTATTATCCACTTAAGTAGAACAGTTCTTCCATTTCTGCAGAAGAAGACGAGTCTGCGTCGATACAGTGTGCTTTCCTTCCAGAGTCTCCTCAGAGATCAGAGATCTCTACATGGAAGTAGAAGGAAGGTCCACACGACCACGGTGGCCTAGTTTCCTCACCAGCATTATAAGCGATTAAACCACTTCCTCGTATTGTTAAAGACTTTACGAGCAGATATAAAAGTTGATTTGCTGACACATGTTGCTGTAATGAACTCTGTGCATTATGCTCTCCAAATTAACAGTATTTTGTTGCATTCCCGTAAGCAATGCAGTTTAGTACCTGTATGAGTTTTACATTTGCGACAAGTTGGTGAAATACCCGTTTTATACTTACTAGTGATGTATGATACTCTATTGAAACTCTTTCTATTGTATTTGTGTTTATTTCTCAGCTGCCAAATCCTGAAACATGGAGGACCCAAACAAACTTCAGCGTAAAATGTCAACAGCAGGAGAGAGCCTGTACAAAATCCTGGGACTGGAGAAAGGAGCATCTCCAGAAGACATAAAGAAGGCATACAGGTGCGTGTTCATTAATTGAATACATGTTTAGTTTATAAAATTATATTATTGAGTTGTTTAGCTGCATATTCTGACCCTCACTCACTCATTTCCAGGAAACTGGCATTGAGGCATCACCCCGATAAGAACCCAGACAACCCAGAAGCTGCCGACAAATTCAAGGAGATCAACAACGCCAACTCCATCATCAGTGACGAGAACAAACGGAAGATCTACGACGAGTATGGATCCATGGGACTCTACGTGGCCGAGCAGTTTGGGGACGACAGTGTCAAATACTACTTCCTCATGTCCAAATGCTGGTTCAAGGTGAGAGGCAACGCGGTTTGAAAAGTCTACATGGGAGAAAATTGAGCGACTCTCTGGATGAACAATTAATTCTTTTGTGATTGTGAGTTTAGTATTCATTCCCTTTTCTTTGGTGTTCAGACCCTCGTGGTGTGCTGCGGTATTTTCACCTGCTGCTGCTGTTTCTGCTGCTGCTGTTTCTGCTGCGGGAAGTGCAAATCCTCAGAAGACGAGGGCAACTTCACCTACATGGACCCTGAGGACCTCGAGGCAGAGATCAGAGAACAGGATGCAGGTGAGGGACTTTGCTCTTCTGATGGATATCTTCCAGCTGCTTACATAAGAAACTGGGAAATCACATGGTTCATCCCTGGTGTCCGTTGAATCAAATTCAATTCAAACTTAAAGTATTTAAGAGTGTTTTAAAATATTTCCTGGAGAAATGAAAGATTGTCAATATGAAAATCTAATAATAAATGCTACAGTAATAATCTGAAACCAGACTAACGCAACATCACAATGACTTGATCATACATTAAACATATTCCATGTATAGTGTTTACTGTGAATGCCGGCAAACTGACTTTAAAAAGCCTTTAAAAGAATACTTCATCTTTTTTGTTAATTTGTCAATCACGTTGTTGTTCTCGCAAGACTCTACGATGAATAGAGAATCTGAAAACGGATGCGTTTGCTCCGTGAGCCTTTATAGTGAACATACACGCCTAATGGAGGTTAGCAGTCTTACAATAACAGTTGCGTATGTAAACAGTCTGTCGCTGTAACTGACGAGAGGTATTAGTTCATGTTGTTCACCGTCAAAAGAAAATGACCCAATTAAACGCTCATTCTACCAACTAGCACCCCACCAAAGTCTGTTCTCAAATTTATACTGACGGCACACTTCACAGAGAACAATGAAGGTCTTTTTTGAACTGAATATTCTCTGGTCTGGAGAACCTGCGTTCAGCTGTTTGTGGGTTTGCTGAGTGTGTCGCATTTTGTTTCACAGCAGGAGACCATGTAATAGTTATTCAGCCGAGCTCTGAGCCTTCAGATAGCGCCGGCCCCTCTTCAGGTAAAGTTCACCTGTCCTCAGCCGCCCCGTGCCGCTTCACTAATCTGGCAGAACGTGAGTCGGTGTTTCTGTTTCGGCAACAGCTTCTAACGGCTCCATCCCAGGCCCGTGTGTTTATCATAACACACTAACATGTCTTCCTACAAGTGCGGCAGGATGCTGTTATTCTTCTCTTTCTTGGTGCTTATTAATATCTTTGCTTGCTTACACTTATCACTGTTGATGATGTTCTCGATGTTGAGCCCAGTGGAGGAACACGGTGGGTTAAAATGCTAATGCTAAATATCAAGAGCAGCATGGTTCTCAATCTGCGAGTTAAGATCATTTCAGAGTAGCCACACAATTATTTATCTGATAAGGGAAATACATATTTCTATTATCCCTACTTGGCAGTTTTTGTCAAAGATAGACGTGTTTGTGAGCCTCTGAGTAATTATAATTATAAATATTCAAACATTAAACTAATCAAACGGTCTTTTCTTCTGTTCAAAGGTTGAGAACCACTGATCTCGAGTGACGAAAAACAATTCTGCTGCTTATTTTAGTTTTAACATTTGCTCCTCTCTCCTCCTCTGCGCTGTATAATCTGTAAACTAATGTACGATATCTGAGAATATTTTCATAAACTTCGGTTCTTTTCACCGTTATGCTATTTTTCAGGAAGGGTTTGTTTGATTGTTAATCTTTCACCTGATGTCGGTGCTGGAAGACGTATTGAAATCATTTACTTAAGTAAAAGTAGAAAATGAACAATATATACCCGTAATACACTCGGCTCTGTTTTGCTGTTTTTTTGGGGGTAAATGAATGAACGTATAGACACTTTAAAGAATTCCCTTTTCTTCACACCTCCAGGGGAGAATGTACCGATCGTGATTCAGCCCCATGCGACCAGCGAAGCCTCGTGAGCTAAGTGAGTGGAGTCCTGATGGAACCACATCGTCATCAGCCAAAGATGAGGAGTATAATTATGGGTTTGAATGGGTGGCTGACGTGCAGAAAAAAAGCGATTTGATTGTGCCATTTTATTTTTTGATATGTGCCAATTGTCTTTGATCCAATCTCATATTTATTTAAACTTTTTATTTTTTAAATAGTGGGTTGTGTGTGGACTGCAGTGACAAAGCCATGCAGATCAAAGCTCTGGAATAATTAGTTTTTTTAATGTGCACTTTAATATCTTAAGTTCGTGTTTAAAATCCTAACGCTGCCACGACGGTCTGAGAATATTTTTGGCTCTTGGGTCAGAAGGGTTTTAATATTTCTTTTTAAAGCAACTTAAAATGCTGGTTCCCAATTTTTAAGAGGCCAACCACTCGGAGACATACGCGGTGTTCAGTTACACTGTACATAGATACATAATGTAGAGGCTTATTGAAATTAGGAAAGTATATTGAGACTAAACCAAACTTGGTTGGACTTCCACTCGTGTTCACCGTTGTGCATTTGCCTGGCAGCCCCTTCTAGCTCCATGAGCATTGATATTTGTAGGAGTGATGCTGACATTACAGGAACGATTCAACATTTTGGGAGAAACGCTCGTTCGCTTTCTTTCTGAAAGGTAGAGTTCGGCACGTGACTCTTCACATCATTGGACTCAAGGCAGGTGTATGATTGCAGAGTTCCCTGTGTGAGTCCTTAAAATATCTATTAATTGACAATAAAGCACCATATTCCTAAAGTTGGGTTAAAACAAAATACTTTTGGAATATAAGTGTCCATATCTGTTGTGCACTTGTTAATTAAGCACTAATTGGAGGTTTTTAATTGAGTAATTATGACTTGGTTTGACTTGAGCACCATTGACAAGTCAGAATAACCCAGATATGACATGAACATGACATTAGGTGAGAAGCTGGAACGGGGAGGTAATTAGCCTAGCTTAGCATAAAGACTGGAAGCAGGGGAGAAAGCTAGCCTGGTTCGAAAATCTACCTCTAATGCGAACTTTCTTTCCTCACTACAAGGTTTCAAACCTGCGTTCTAGTTTGAGACGCCCGACAAAGAAGTCCTGGGCGGATGGATATGTTATTGTTTGTGAAGAATTAGTTCCAGAAAACCACAGTCACTTGTGTGTTGTTTGTTCAGAGTTTTTCATAGGCAGACTTTGTTACCTCCAGACAGTCAGGCTAGCTGTTCCTCCCTGTTTCCAGTCTTTATGCTAAGCTAATAGCCTCCTGGCTCCAGCTCCACACTAACACAACGCAGAGACACGAGAGTGGTATCAATCTTCTCATCTAATGCTCGTAAAGGAAACGAATAAGCGTATCTCCCAAAATATTGAACTAAAATCTTTAAGAGATAATGGCAGTACTGGTGGTTAGTTCGCTGTACAAAGAAACAAACACACGGGGTGAATACTTCTTAAGGTACTGAGAAAGCTCTTCTAAAACTTTTCTGAAAAACACTTTCCCGCACCTGAAGCTGGAACCAACCACTGACTGATTTGATTCATTGCCAAATATTACACGTGGATGAATGTTTTCAGAGGAGTCGAGGCCTACTTTTAACGATGGTCTCTGTGGTGCGTGAGATGATTTATTGCCTGTATGTGCCGTGAAATGATGCTCAATGCAGGAATCATGTGTTTGTGTTAATTCAGAGGTGTATTTTTGATGTACCCATTCTAGGTTTTATGACCAATTGAGTGTATATTAAGAGGACGGCCCTTGAATTGTCTTTTATCATGTTTGTATTATATTTTGTATTTCTGCTCGGTGTAGGAATGTACGGTTTGTACGTTTGGTACAAATCTGAATTGTATATGTGCATTAGTCTTAGAATTTGATCTGTTTTTCTCAGGTGACTTTCACATGTTTATATACATTTTAAGCAAACCCAGAAATGTCTGTAAAGTCAGTTTTGTATACTTGAGAAAACTTCACAAAAGTGCCAGAATATATTTTAGTATACGTTTTTTTTTTTTTTTTTTTTCAGGTTTGAATTATTTTGATCAAACTTTAAACAAAGAAAAATTATATATTTCGTTTTGTCATCTCAACATTCCCAGGTATTTTTCTAATCTTTCAACTTTTCCATGTTTCCAAACTGTTTGTTTCTGTAAATGTAACGTCTGTCTGATCAAATAAACTTTGGTTATACTGGAAATGTTGGACAGTTTTCTCGTAAATTTGTGCAGTTTGCCGTTAGTGACCAGCACCTCTCGGCTCAGTCAGCTGCCATTGGCTCCTGTTGTGCTCCACCTCTGAGAGATAACGCGTGTTACAGCAGCTGGCGAGTTGTCCAGCTTCACTTTAACATTAAAACTAAAAGGGAGTCCCTGAAGTGTAGTCACCTGAGGATATGGAGTTATCAACAGAGAAACATCTGATTGAGACTCATTTGGAGCCTCTTAGCTTGTATGTTCTTTTTATATTCTCATATGAGCTCAACGTCGGCACAGATTTCATTTATTGAATCACTTAAATCTGTTATAAGCGTGTGTTTTATACAGTTCTGTCTTCTCTCAGGACGAGTTCTCCAGAGGACAAGTATTCAGACTCTGCATCAGAGTCTAGTGAAGATGCCTCCAGCGTGGACGGCCTGTGGCAGCCCGACCAGCTGTGCCAGGAGGCGAGCTCCATGTCGGCGGCTGAGAGGGACGAGAGACGTTTGGCCAGAAGGAAGCTTTACGCGGCCTGCGCTGTCAGCCTCGTCTTCATGACCGGAGAGGTGGTTGGTAAGATGAAGAAAAAAATAAGCATCGTCGTATCTGATTATGATCTGCCACAAATGTATCAGATATGAATATTACACTTTAGTTTTTCAATAATTTAAATTGCAAATGTGGATTATTTAGGCAGCTGGATGATGAAAAGTGATTCTGCTTCATGCTTGTGATGAGCTTTAGGGGAAAGTCACACTGATGGAAAGTACATTTACTCAAGCGCTGTCGTTAAGTACAATTTTGAGGTACTTTTACTTTACTTAAGAAATACAGTTTACTGCTACTTTATACATCTGCACTTCTACATTTGCTATTGCACTTTTTACTGAGAGCTATAGTTTCTTGTGACTTTGCATATAAAGACTTCATATCTGAAAAGACACGATCACTTCTATAGATGGAGAAAATTGTTTAAATTTGACCAGGTGCAACATATAAACGCTGCTTACTAAATCAGCCAATTGAAGATCTGTTCCAGTTTATATAAGTAATAAGAAATATCAGTACCATCCATCCATTTTCCTCCACTTATCCGGGGTCGGCTTGCGGTGGCAGCAGGCCAAGCAGGCCGACCCAGACTTCCCTCTCCCCCGCAACATTTTCAAATATCAGTACATAAATGCCAAATCAAAAAGCAGTAAAAGAAAAAAGTAACTTATAAAATCTGGGAAGGAAGACCAGGGAGTGTGTGGCAACACAAGGGAGCTTCTCACACAACACCTCAGTACAATAGCGACCTACAGTTAATCATCAAAAATATACAAAACAAAAAGAAATGAACCACTATGTATAACACAAGAGTATATCACAATGACAGAGTGCGTCCACCTGAAAGCACTAACGAGTTTATTTATATACGCTGTAAAATGTATCTTGTTCTTATAGAATAAGAAATCTTAGGGTTTCCTAACCTGGTACACAATCCTCACCTCTCAGTTCACTCACATTCTCTCACACACACTCACATACGTATTTCCGTCTTTTCTACAGGTGGATACGCCGCTCACAGTCTGGCCATCATGACGGACGCGGCACATCTTCTGACTGACTTTGGCAGCACCGTGATCAGCATCTTCTCTCTGTGGATCTCCTCCAGGCCTCAAACACACACCATGACCTTTGGGTGGCATCGAGCAGGTGAGATCCAAACCCACTTTGTTGGAATCATTCGTTTAGTTTTTGACGTTTTGGTGACTTCTCTGAGCTGCTTTCTTTCTTAGATCGATGTGAATCTTATATTCGTACATCAAGCTGTAGGGAAACTGACATCATGTCGACTGAATTTGTTTCTGGGAGTTTACACTCCACAGTTACAGGGTATTTTAGAACCTGATTCAAGTATTTTTAGATACGGCGTATTTATATTTTAAGGCACAAAAACAAATAGTTGTGAGTATATATATGTATATATGTATATATATGTATATGTATATATGTATATATATGTATATGTATATGTATAT